CGTTTTCGATGATGCCTCGGTCTGGTCCCATGAAAGCTTAAATAACCCAAACCCCACATCCCGAACCCAAGAAAGCCGCCATGCTGCACTCTCATAAACCAAACCGATACCTCTCAAAGAGACGCTGCAGTGATCAAGATGTTTTTCACCACAGAAGCCAGAAACACCAAGCACTGTGGTGCTGGCAATCTGCAAGCTGAGTTGCCTCCGTCGTAATGGTAGATGGTCTGGGCGTTTTTCAAAGGCATGTTCGGAATTCTTGTCAGGGATCTAGGGGTTGTATTACAAGGGGAGGAGGGAGCAGCAGTCCCGACACAGGGGTCTACGACCTTTCTTACCGGTTCCAGTCCCCAGAAACCAGACGTCTTCAAACTGCGGTTTATGGGGCAGATTCAGAAGATGCAGGGGCTCCCAAACTGGATTCGCCCTGACTTCAGGATGAGGATGCCTTGCAGCGAGGGTTCTGGGACAGGTTTAGCCTGAACAGCACCCGCCACCCAGAAGCCCGGACCGGAGCGCATGGTCGTTTGCACTAGTTTTGGCGTCGATTCGCTTTCTAAAACCCCCCAAACCTTTCGCGTAAGCCCCAAAACCCGAAATCCCAAAACCCAGAACTTGGCCCGAAGCCTGATACTGTAGGGGCTTTAATAGTTAGACTGGGGTTTTGAAGATTTTGGGTATATATTATACGAACCCCCAAAATCCTGATCTGATTATTAAGGCCCCTACACTAAGCCCTTAGAGCAGCCCTTACAGTATCCCCTATAGACCTTTGAAGGAATTTTAGCTTACATTTTAAATATTGAGGCTCCTACATCACTACGGTTGATGATATAGATCCTGTATTACCTTAAGGACCCTAGAGTCTGGAAATTATGGAAATTGCTCATTGGGGTGCAGGTGATCTTCCTCTCCATGGACAGCGTTTGGCGATCGACGCAGAGCTTCTACGTAGCGGCGCCCGTGCAGGTCTACTCAATCATCAAGGCTGTGGAAGCACCTTGGTGAACATCAGGGTTTAGGGTTTCGCGATCAGGGTTTAGGGTTTAGGGATTTTGGGTATCGTCCAGTCGGGTAGGGTTTAGGGGTGTAGGGTTGGGGGAATATGTGTAATGTCACAACCGCTGGAACATGTCAAGAGTCGCCATCGCTGCGCCCAAGGGTTCTGTCTAACTGTATTATTAGGGCTACATACCTGGCTTGTTCACTGCATCATTTTAGAATCATAGTATAATGGGCCCCAAAACCTTATTCTAATTCAGGACTACGTGCGCTACCATTTCTACGGTGAGGACATCACGTTTCAGCGCGCTTCAGAGACTCGCAGCGGCCTCAGCACGTGTCGTGACACGACCGAGAGCAGTTAGAGAAACGCGCCACACCCGTGACGGATTGGATGATGGTTAGTTATGCTGTGCTCATGATGGTGATGATGATGATGGTGATGGTGATGATGGCAGTGGCAGCACGATGATTACAGCAAGCATGGTCTCAGCATGGTGGTGGTGGTGGTGGTGGTGGCGCGGAGGAGGTGGCGGTGTTGCTGGTGGTGGTCCGTTTCGATAGCAGTAGCGAATGCTTGGAGATGCATTGGTAAACACGCACATGTTGAACACATGGGCAGGGCCTCGCACGGAATTGGTGCATCCGAGGACATCTGAGAGCAGAGATGTCGATCACGCTCATCAAGTTCTGGACATTGCTGCTTCTTGTAGGCGGCGCTACCCCCTACACCCTGTACCCCAAGCCCTAAACCCCACACCCCAAACTCTAAACCTTAAACTCCCAAACCCTACACCCAAACTCTAAACCTCAAGCCCCAGGCCCTAAACCCTAAAAGACCCAAAACCCTGGACCCGAAGCATTGTCATGATCTCCCGAAGCCTTGCGGCGCTCAGGCTTGGGGCTTGGAATTTCGCGGCCTCAGAGTCTTCAATCCTAATCCCTATCTTCAGGGTCCCGGAGGGCGGAGCGTGTACGGTAGTAGTAAGAATAGTCCCTGATCGTCCCGATAATGACATCATATGGGTAGAATTTACCATAGCATATCCCAAGAACCTCTTCTAAGTGTCAAAGGCCCTCCAACTGACATCTGCGTTGTGTACTGCTTGGGGGTGGAGAGTTTCGAGCTCCGGACCCTCCTCGAATCAATGAGCAGGTGCCGTCGGTGCCTGGGTCCACTATGCCATGGCGGTGAGGCAGCGCCGATTTGGGGGCTTTCCGAAAATAGGGGATAGCACCCTAAATACTAGGATCCTCATTATAAAGGACCCCCAAAATAAGGTAACCCTAATTTTCCGAAACTCCCATTTGCTTTGGGGCCCGAACCCAAGCCCGAAGCCCTACTTGAAGGTTCACGGGTAATGTAGGAACCTGATCAAGAAACCTGGGGCTATTTTTTTGGGCTTCCTTATATTGGGGTTCTAGGCCCAGGGTTTCTCAATCAGGTTCCTACACTAGTTCTAACTAGGGTTAAAAGTCTTCTCAGATGGTTTCTCATTGACAAAGCCCTCCCAGATTTTTCTCATCCACTATAGTTACCTTACTTCTAAACCCCCCACTTATATCTGCCCATGAACCTCCCCTGATAGAGCCCTTGCAGAGCCCTTATCGAACCCTTGAGAACCTCGCAAACCCTAAACCCCAAACCCCACACCCCAAACCCTAAACCTCCAAAACCCCAAGCCCTTAAACCACCCTATAGGCCCCAGACCCTAAACCCGAAAACCCTAGAAGGAACCTCATAAACTCTAAACCTTAAACCCTTAAACCCTAAACCCCTAAACCCCTAAGCCCCAAACCCCTAAACCCCAAACCCTAAACCCCTAACCCCTAAACCCCTACAGCCATGAACATCCAAGCACCCGCCCTCGAAGCCCGAAGATAGCTTGACAAGAAATAGCTTGACAAGAAATTTTCAATCTCAGAGCTGCTGAACCCTAAACCCTAAACCCTAAACCCCAAAACCCAAAACCCTAAAACCCTGCCCATTGAAGCTCCAAGCAACGCCCATCGGAGCCCTCGTCTTCCCTTCAAACCCTAAACCCCTAAGCCCCTAGACCCTAAACCCTAAACCCCTAAACCCCTAAACCCCAAACCCTAAACCCTAAACCCCTAAACCCTAAACCCCTAAGCCCCTAAGACCCTAAGCCCTAAACCCTAAGCCCTGGTCTCCCTGTCAGGGTGGGCAACGGCGCCTTGGCCTCGTGCATCGTGGCCGGGGCTCCCAGGGGGGTTCCCTTTCAAGGAGGCCCTAGGAGTTCCTGCAAAGGAGGCCTTAGGAGCTCCTTTAAGGGTGGGGGGTTTGGGGTTTAGTGTTTGGGGTTTAGGGTTTTAGGTGTTTCGTGTTTAGGATTAGGGTTTAGGGTTTGGGGGTTTAGGGTTTTAGGGTTTAGGGTTCCTTTAAGGGATCCATGAGGAACCTATAAGGGGTTTCAAAGGGTTCCTGTAATGGGATCTACAAGGGCTCCTTAAAGTTCAGCTTGGAGGAAGGGAGGCTAGGATGCCCAGTAGTGCCCTTATTCCCTTTTTGTAGTCCTAGGTTCCTTACAAAGTTACCCAATACCAAAAAGAGAGGCCGTTTTATTCTTAGGTTACTGGGTAACCTAGACGGGCTTCTTAAAGTTCAGCTTGGAGGAAGGGAGGGTTCCGGCTTCAGTGCTTCCGGATTTACTTGGGTTTTTGCGACGGGGATTCCGTCAGTTTAGGGTTTAGGGTTTAGGTTTTAGGGTTTAGGGTTTAGGGTTTAGGGTTGGGTTGCTGCTGAGGGTTCGGCTTTCCTGAGCCCCTAAGCTCTAAATCCCTCAACGAGCAAACAGCTAAGCCAGAAAACCCCTCAATCCTGAAAACCGGTGCTGCCCAAAGTTGGGGTTTCAGGCTTTTAGCTTAGAAACCGAAAATAGCCTTCCGTGGAATCTTCAAGAATCCTAGCGGCCAAACGCCCTACACCTTACAACGTCCTCAACCGCACTCAAACCTATGAGAAAACTGCTTCGACTATCATTCTTCAAAGCTGCCAACCTAAACCCGAACCCCCTAAACCCGAAACCCTAAACCAGAAGCCCGCAACACTATCAAGGTCACCCTCATCGCCCTCGACTGTCTCCATCCATGCGCCTATCTCTGGGTGGGCCAGGCCAAGCAGATGACCGACCAGCAGGCCGGGTGTCAGAGAGGTCTGAAGACCTACCGTTGAAAGGATCAGGTGACTTAGTAACTAGGGTTATGATTAGGGTAACTGTACTTATAACCCCAATTATGGTACTTATAACCTTACTTACTAAGTCCCATGATCGTCCAAGTAGGGATCGGCTGCGTATAATGAAAATGGAGGGTTTCAGAGTAGGCTCAGTAGATGTCCGAACGGCAGTCACCAGATCTGATCTTCGCTGTATGGCGGCAGCAGCGTTTAGCAGCTCAGACATCCAGTGGCGAAGGAGATTAGCCGTACCAAGAACAAGAACAGAGAGGTTCGTGATAATGGTTGCAACAAACAGGAACCCAAGTCCTACTAAAAACCCGGTGGGTTGGGGATACAGGGTTTGCATGAACAGGCGCAAAAGCAGCATCCAGGCAGGCCGCATGTGTTGGTCTAGTACGCTCATGACTTGTTCGTTGGATGCCCTGACTGCAGTTTAACAAGCCGGCTTACTCTCTGGGCTCTTAGCTCAGGTATAGACCATGATCATTGCCGTTAAATGACAAGCGTCATCTTTATTTGCCCATTAACATTTCTTTGGTCATTGCCACTATGGCTACTGCTTCTACTGATCAGAAACTCTTAAGGCGCAGCGCCTTGCGTTTCCGAGCAGCCATGGACCAAGCAATCAAGATGTTGCAGAAAGATCCTTCGAAAGTCATGAACTACCTGCTGGCTGATGGTGCAGCACGCCGGTGCATCGTCAAGAAGGTCAGCAGCATGATTAAGAAAAAGAAAATACCTGCCGAGCTCGTCAGCGAAAAGTTCCAAGAAGCCGCCGCCAAAGAGCAAGAAGCAGCCTATGTTGTGGGAACTCCAATGTAGCTGCCCAGCGATTCAAGAGCGGATCTCCGCGGACCCTTACGACGACTCGCTGATGGAGGACTTCGGAGAGCTGGCCGAAGCGTTTGGTGACGGCTCTGGACCCATCAGAAGGACATACACGACCAAAGCTAAAGCCATCCAAGCTGCGTTAGGTTGGGTCGATTCTTGGCCCGTGGCCGATATGAATGAGGTGAAAATGGACCTACAGACAGAGGGCGCTTGGGCTGCTGACGAGGAGGGAGGCCTTGCAGTCGAAGTGAACCCGCTCGCACCAGACAGCCTCCTAGTTGAGTGAAGGGAGTTCTGCTTTCGCAAGCTCCACGCAAAAAATGCAGCCTTACCAACGCTCCAGAAGGGTTTGTACTCAAATTACGAATTACTTAGGTATTTGGGTCCTTAGTGAATGGTTGTCAAAACTATGGTCCTTTTCGGTTCCCGAGCATAATGTGGTACTTTATATTTGTTACCGTGGTTACGGCTAATGTCGATAGATGGGATTTGTCATGAATGTCGTTTCGTGCGCCGACTTCATCGCCAACCCCAAATTCGAGACAAGTTCTTCTGAGATCAAAACGCCGAACATATGGGCTTTAATTAGTGTAGGGTTTGGGGGTATACTATCGTAAATTTACAATAAGGACCCCTCAAGGAATAGTATTGGTTCATTCTTCAGGCTAATACGTACCATGAAACCATTGCGCGGAACCCCCGACCTAAACCACACCTGACCCCCCGCACATTCGTTGACACAAGCCCCCTTTTCCAAGTCCAGCCGCCTTCTAAGCTTCTTCAAAGCCCTTAAACCCTAAACCCGAAACCCTAGATATTGAAGCTGTTTCGGTTGCCCGTTCAGGCGCAGAACCTCTCGTGGCTGCAGGCCTGCCCCGGCTGTATGTTTCAATTCGAGCTTTCAGTCCTCCAGCGGCTTTCTTCCTTGTGCATGGGGCTGTTAGATGGATATTCCTGCGGGGTGTTAAGAGGGAGCTCTTCTGGATTTGGGACATTGCTTCCGAACTTTAGCCGTAACGTGCAAAGCTCATCGGCTCTGACTCCTCTATCCCATCCCCATACCGATACTCGGTTCGATACCCCTGACCTCAAGCCCCAAACCCTAAACCCTAAACCTTAAACCTGAACTCTAAACCCTAAACCCAAAAGCCCCAAACCCCAAACCTAAACCCTGAACCCTAAAGCGCCAAGCCCTAAACCCTGACCTAGTGCTAAAAGTCTTAAACCGTCAGCTCGTGAGCCGTTGAGCACTGCTGGCAAGGCCCCAACAACCCTGAGGTATATGGGAGTTTCTGAAAATGGGGTACCTTATTTTGGGGTCCTTATAATAAGGATCTTACTATCTAGGGTACTATATTAGGGTCCCCTATCTTCGGAAACTTCCATGTTCTAGTACATATTGTGGTATATCGTATTATATCACATCAGGTTACAGTATAACATAGTACAGTATAGTACAGTATGTATGATATACTAGAGTAGTGTATAGTCCGGTACAGTGCAGTACAGTAGATTAGAGTAGAGCACTGTATCGTATTGTATACTGTTTTTACACTAATATACTATGGTATATCTACATATATATATATATATATATATATATAATGGTATATAGAACCCGCCTGACACCGCCAGGCCTGCTTTTCACCAGCCTGGTGGTCGAGGTGGTTAGCAGACATAGTCTTGAACAGGACCTGGGTTTTGACTTTTTTACTTCCCTGGTGTGCGAGGTGTAGAGAACCCTAAACCCTAAACCCCTAAACTCTAAACCCTAAACCCTAAACCGTAAACCGTAGAGCTTCATGGTCTGGATTTCGGGTTTGGGCCAGTCCTGAGGTTAGGGTTTGCCTGCGGCTCAGGATTGCTTGACCGTCAGGTTGGGGCATGTTGCCATGTTTTGGGTTTCCGAGCTTTTCGTTCCCTAGGACTCTAAGGACTCATACTTTAAGGCTTTTGGGCCCAAAGACCATACTATCATGTTGCTCTCTTTGTCGGGTGGGTTTCTACTGAGTTTGGGCCTACGCGCGGGTAGACTCCCGCATGAAGCTACGAGTTACAGACAAGTCAGGAACCCCAGAATAACAAGACAGGGATGCCTTCTTCAAGAACTCCTTTCATTGAATCTTTCTGGAAGCACCATATCAAAATTAAACGCCCGCTGGAAACTTTGAATAACACCAAACCAAACCAAACCTTAATTATGAGAGCCGGGGCAAACCGCTTTTGTAACACTTAACCATCAAGACCTAAACTTTAAACCCTATAATCCTTACACCGCTAAACCCTAAACCCTGAACACTAGAACCCGAAATCCTAAACCCAAAAACCCTAACCCCTAAAAGCCCTGAGCCCTGAACCCTATAACCCCAAAGCCCTAAACCCTAAACCCGGGACTCTTGAGGGTGTGGGGTTGAGGATTTAGGGTGCGCTTTGATATGGGAGGACGATGACCAGAATCATCAAGTGGCTTGGCCTCTTGTCTGCAACCCAAGAGCCTTGCAAAACGCCAGATAAAGCGCGGTGAAACAAGCGTGAAACCGACTAATATAGGGGCTTTAACAAAGGCCTGTTCTAATTATTAAGGCCACTACACTAAAGCACGATGAAGCCACCCTTAACGCTTGCAGCCGAGAGCCCCGACACCCAAAGGCCCGAAATAAGAAATCCAATGACTTCCCGGCAGGCGTTGCAGCCGAGAGACCAAGGTACGAACACTTAATTGACCCACAAGAAGCCATCCATGAACCCTAAACCCCAAACCCTAAAGACCTTTGTTTTCGGGGGGAGGGGCTAGAACGAACGACCTGACCTGCAGAAACCTAACCTTCACAGAGTCTCTTGGCCGTCAGTGTTCAGGAGCACCGGTTGTTTCCTAGCGGCTTAGCGTTTGTTATTCAGGGTTTGGGGTTTCGGGGCCAATCAAACAGCTCCGCACATTAACCTAAACCCCAAACCCGACCACCTCACATTACCCTCACCTCGAAACCCTAGCAAACAACTCCAGAACTGGACTTTAACCCATCGAAAGACCCGGCACACAGGTCCCATCTCCTTCGTCGTGCTGCCTTTTGTCATTCTGGCCCGATGCCCGGTTGGGGTCAGCTCATCTGCAGCCTCCGACACCGCTGGAAGAAGTGATCCTCTTTCGATTTGGTTGGGGGGTATGATAGGGGCTCGTTTGGACGGGCTTGTATGAGGTTTCACAAGAGGCCCGTGGGGCTTGTAAAAACCCAAAACCCTAAACCCTAAACCCAAGGTTAAGGGAGTCTCTATTGGTGGGTGTTGGAGTCTCGACTGCAAGGTTCAGGCTGTGATGGGGCAGCAGGGGCAGCGGCTTTTTTTTTTTTCCGTTACTTGCCAGTTGAATTAAAGAAAGCCGTACAGCCTTGCAGGCTAAATCCTGGACCCTGAAGCAGAAACAGAGAGATCTGCGCCGCGGAAAAACCTGAAGCAACTGGAGGTGATGCCCTACATGGGTGGGGCCCTCAGCCCTCAGCGCTGGTTGTGAAGTCAGCGACGTCGATCTCGAGGAATTTTGGCGTTCGTTCTGCTCTTGCTCTTGCTTTGCTTCGTCGTCGTAGTAGCAGCAGTAGTAGCAGTAGTACCAGTAGTCTAGTCGCTAACCTGTTACCACACGGGACCAGTGCAGATACATGGTCAGGCTTAGGGCTTAGGGAAGTGTAAAGGGTGATGCCCCCAGCCGGAGGTATCAACCTGGCATTCATGATGCTCTTGGGCGCCACGGCCACCTGAGCCTGCCTGGGCAGTGGAATGCCGATAGCCGATAGCCTTGAAGGCAACTACAAAGCCGATGTGCGGCAAGCCTATCAACATGCGAGATATATACACCGCGGCATCTATACATAAAATGACGACATGCAGTAACACTGTAAGTGAGGTTCCACTGCTGCTGCTACTGTTACTGCTGCTGCTGCTGCTGCTGTTGTTGTTGCTGCTGCTGCTGCTATTAGTACGAGTGCTACTTGTGCTAGTACCAGTAGTGCTGCTAGTAGTAGCAGTAGTAGTAGTAGTCGTCGTCGTCGTCGTAGTCGTCGTAGTCGTGATGGTGGTGGTGGTGGTGGTGGTGGTGGTGGTGGTGGTGGCGGCGGTGGTGGTGGTGGTGGTAGTAGTAGCAGTACTACGACGACTGCTACTGCCGCTGCTGCTGCTCCTCCTCCTCCTCCTACTACTACTACTACTACTACTACTACTACAGCTACTACCACTACTACTGCTGCTGCTGCTACTACTACTACTACGACGACGACTGCCACTACCACTACCACTATCACTACCACTGCCACTGCCACTGCAACTGCCACTGCCACTGCCACTACCACCACCACCTACTACTACTACTACTACTACTGCTACTACTACTGCTACGACTACTACTACTTGCTACTACTGGTGGCGAGGATCATGAGTAGAGAATGTCAGTGTGGATGTCGTAGCAGGGTCGCAGTGACAGCCAGGACGCTGACCTGATAACCTTAGTAGTCGTGTCAATTATGACCGCACGCTGTATTCACGAAGGCAATAACTGCGGCAATGAGGCCACAAACAAGAGTTATTGCGCCCTGAAATCGTGTTGCGGTGTTTATAAACTTGTATGTGTGCCCGAACTGGATATACAGGGCTTAAGATACATGGCTTAGGCCTTAAGGTCAAAGTGGCTCCAGGCAGGTTTCAAGTATTTTCCTTTTGTACTGAGGACATCTCTCTGGGGAGCCCACCATACACGCATCTTTACTGTGGATGGTGTTGTCCAGACCAAAGTGCGCAACCAATGCGCGGACAAAGTGTATGTTACTAAACCCTGAAGCCCTCAACAGTCAACCCTAAACCCTGCAAGAAACCAGAAGCCAACACCCTAGGCAGATAACCCCAAACCATAAGCTCTGCAAACCCAAAACCCACGCTGATAGCCCCTGACGTGGGAGTGGGGATATTTACAGCCTCCCATAGTCCCTGTTGAGATTGTACTGCACAATGGGAGTTTCCGATAATTATCGGTACCTTATTTTGGGCTCCTTATAATGAGGATCCTGCTATGTAGGGTACCTCCTATTTTCGGAAACTCCCAAATGGCCCAGGACCGCACTCGATAATCATTCAGGTCTCCCTAGACAAAAACCCAAGTCAGGCAGACAAAAACCTAACCTTAAACACTTCGGTGGTTGTCAAAATCATGGTGCTTTTTTGGGGTACCTTAAATAGTAGGTGCCGTATTATAATACAGTTGAATAATATTCATAATATAGATATATTAGGACCTTAATAGTAGCCCTATTATCGACTCTTACTGTAAGGGGGGCCGTACCTAAGAACTGTTCTAGAAGCCTTAGAAGCCTGATGAATCACCCTCGATGTTCTGTGGGTCTCCGACAGGCTGAGTTGTCCAGTTTCCTCACGCTGGGGTCTTTCGGGCCGTTTTGGGATAGAAGCCTGCATTCAAAGTCTATGGTTTCGGGTTTACTCAGTCATGTCTTAGGCAATTAAAGGTCATGGTTTAAAGGGGTGCAGGATTCAGGGTTTAGAGTTTGAGAACAATGCTTAACTTAAGGTTTTGGGTTCGGTGAGTGTGCATGCGATTCCTGGGAGATGCTTGTCAGGGACTGTCTTTTTGTTCTTTGGGTGCCGTCCAGCAGTCTTTCCTGAATTTCAGGGCCAATATTAAGGCTACTACTAGGGTGAATCTCTTCTCCTGGTGATGTACTGCCACCATTGCCGATCTTACTCACTGTGCACCCTAAACCATAAATCCCAAACCAGTTCAGTTTTTGTGATTACATGTCGATTGTGTTGGCCCTTTTCTCCCCCTGGCGCTGAGGAGTAGGCGGCTCCAGTAGGAGGACCACTTAGTGGTGCCTCTCATGCGAGATGGAGCCTTTGCACGTTAGTGCTTAGCTCTCGGCTCACCGTGCCGCCCAAGAGTGAGAAGGCGAGAGAGGTGTGGCCCAAAGGCATTTTAAAGCGCGGAACCCGAGAATTGCCATCTTGAGCAGTCGGGTCATGACCCCACCTGTACGTATGTACCTGCACTCTCTATCTATTTCTATACACACATGCACACACATGCCCTAGAACGCAAGCACACATGCATACATTCATTCATTCACACACGCATACATGCATACATTCATACATTCATACATGTATACATTCATACATTCATTCATCCATGCATGCATGCATGCATACTCATACGCACATATATATATATACACACATATATATATATGCATAAACACTCTCATGGATACCTACAGATGTAGAAAGGCGAGCACCTAACAGACATACACACACACAAACAAACATACAAACATGCATACCTACGTACATACGTACATACATACATACATACATGCATAGCTGTATAGATGTATAGCTGCGCAGATGTATAGATGTGCAGATGTATAGATGTGCAGATGTGGAGATGTGTAGATGTGCAGACGTGTAGATGTAGAGGTTAGTGTACGTGTATGTGTATGTGCATCTGCATGTGCATTTGCATGGGTATGTGTGTGTCTCCATCTCTCTCTCTCTCTCTCTCTCCCTCTCCCTCCCTCCCTCCCTCCCTCCCTCTCGCTCTCTCTCTCTCTCTCTCTCTCTCTCTCTCCCTCTCTCTCTCTCTATAGATATATACGTACTACATGTGTGTGTGTATATATATATATATATATACACACATACACACACGTACTAACCCTATACCGGAGCTGTGGGAAAGAAGCTCGGAGTTCCTGAGCAGCTCCGTGACAGCGCTGTTTGCAGGCTCCACAGATTGGTTCGTGGCATCAGAAAACGGATCGCGGGTTTGGGGTTTTAGGGTTTTAGGGCGTTTAGGGTTCAGGGGTTTAGGGTTTAGGGTTTTAGTGCATTTAGGGTTCAGGGCTTCGGGATCTATTGGGGGAATATACTATAAGGGCCTTAATAAGGGGTTCAGGGTTCAGAGTTGGGGCTTAGGCTGCTGCGAGTTCGGTGGGGATCTGGGGGGAGTGTGTTTCAGGCTGGCCGCTGCTTTCAGGAACACTTTGGGCTCGAAAATAGGACGACTTTGCGACGACCTGTTGAAATTGGTGCTGTAGCACGGAAGTCAGCGCCATGACTCAATCTTTCTTCGCTTGTGTTCTCCTCTTCGTTGGTGGCATGGCCAACACTATGCCAGCGTGTGATACCATCACATCTGAGGAGATGTGCAACACAACCTGCGGGGTCGGCGGGGGTGTGTACATCAACGTCACCGCATCCGGTGTGACAAGGATCTTCTGCCACTCATGGGCCACCGATGATTCTTGCTGTGACATGTCGGCCTACACGACGACAACACAACCACGGGTGCCATGCAGCACGATTCTATCTAGCCAGGACTGCGCGGACGCTTGTCCGAGCACCTCCACTGCCACTGGCGCGAGTTCGAACTCCCAGTACAGCACCGCGACCAACAACGGAGTCACCACCATGACCTGCATGCAAGATGGAAACTCGTGCTGTGAAGACGATTCTACAACAACCCGGCAAGGGGCATCAGATCTCTCGGCATCAGCTGTCCCTGCAGCCTGTGTAACAACCCTCGCCCTGGCGATGCTCAAAGCACTCAGTGCCTAATTTTTTCAATGAGCAGAATTCGAATTCCGGCAGAAAAGCTGCCATCTCACCACGCTCAGGCAAACTGCTGCTGACCGTTTCAAGCACGCCATCATGATGCGGAACACCTCGCCTGGCTAGTCGTTCTCGTGGTGTTCGTCCTCGCCTCCTCGTCGTTGAGGGGGTCGTATTAGGGTTTGGCTGCTCGCCTCGTCAGCCACTGCACGCATCTTGTCCCTCCTCATGTTTTCGGTCAGCTCGTGCATGTAGCCGCGTCCCGTGATGCCTGCATCGTGGGCACGGTGAGGTTGTTGCCGGTTCGCGTTTGCCCTCTCAGCCTGCCGGGATGTCCTTATGGCTCAATTGCTCAACTCAGTGATGCACAGAGTGTGAAGATAGACGGCCGATGACCCGCGGACCCTATGCTCGAACACCAAGTCCCAAACCCCAAGACCTAATACCTGAGCCCAGACGTCTGACTCCAGAACTCTCTATCAGCCCGGGGGTCCCGAACTAAAGTCACCGCCCGAAGCCGAAAGCCCGAGGCCACCAGCCCGAAAGCCGAAGCCGTAGAAACTGAGAGCCCCAAGAGCCCCAATCCCGGAACCCTGGGAAACCGAGCCTTAAACCCTAAACCCTAAGCCCATCCTGTTCCTCCAAACAAAAGCCATGTGGCGATTCGCTTCCTGGGAGGCCAGACATGTTGGCTTTGGGCAATATACACAGATAGAGGTTAGAGCGGCAAGAATGCATCGATACAGTACTAGTGCTGACTCGGAATACTTATTATGATGATGTTTATTCTGCTTCATTGCTATGGTTGGTATTGTGACGACGATGATCACGATCACGACGACAATGACTACCACTGCTCTCACTGCAATTCTGACAATGACTACCGGGACTACCGTGGGTGATGATCCAGTGATGAACGTAATGACGGTGATGATGATGATGACGCCGATGACGATGGATGAAGCCCAAGATGGAATTTTGAGCTTCGATTGGCTGCTGACCGGATGTGTTTCAGCTGCGTAATACCAGAGCATTTTCAGTGGTGTGCTCAATGGCCTTGATACAGTCAAGGCTAGCGTAAGAGTCTGAACAATTGCTAGTACTACTCCTTCAAACCTCAGAGCCTAACATCAAAACCTAGTCCAAGTATTTAGGCCTCCAAATCCAGGGGTTTGCATTCAGTTCGAGTTTTGGGTTGAGCTATATGACTGTCAAGGCACCGATCGCTTCCCGGAGCTGTTACTGTCGGGTCCCGACCTCAGATGCTGTCGTTCTTGGCAGAAGCAGTAGTCGTGTCGTCGGCGAAGTCACAGTCGGAGTCGGAGTAAGAGTCCGAGCAGTAGTAGGAGTACCTTAAACCCTAAACCCTACCCTCAGGTCGTTTAGATGCGCCCGGGCCTGCTCATCTTACTTCTGGTTTCGTCGTCCCTGCCTCAGAGGAAGCTTTTGGGCCCCAGTCCATGCATTCCCAGACCCCCGCAAAAATCCAGAAAGTAGATCCCCTAATTTGGGGCCCTGTACTACTAAGGGTACTTTATAGGAACCCCCATTAAGGGATCTACTTCTTGGATCCTCCCGGGGGTCTGGGTTTGTGTTGCTTGCAAAAGCCGAAGTGTTGTCATAGACACGCTTAACAAAGAGGTCGGAACAAGTACTAGTAGTACAGCCACGTGGGCCAGACATGGCACATACATGGGCATGCGTGTAGAACCCAGAGACTCCAATATCCCTTAATTAAGGAATATTCCTTAAACTATAGTAGGATCCCTAACATGATTTAAGGAATATTCCTTAATTAAGGGATATGGGAGTCTCTGGGAAGTAGGTCATAGCCTAAGAAACGGATGCACCACCAAACCCTCCTAGCCCCCAAACCCTAAACCCTAAGCCGGCGTGGCGCTTCAGGTTGCAGCGCTACACTACTTGGAGGATCATGGGACTTAGTAAGTAAGGTTATAAGTACCTTAATTGGGATTATAAGTATAGTTACCCTAATTATGACCCTAGTTACTAAGTCCCATGATCCTTTAAGTAATGACAGAAGCGTCCACCCAGGTTCAAGAAGTTTATGGGGTTTGGGGTTTCGGGCTTAGTAGTAGAGTAGGTAACTTTTAACCTTGTTGAGGTTCTAGGATCCCCACCTAATCCAAAAGCTTAATGGCTAGTTCCCCTAGGATACTGGGCAAGTAAGAGTCCCATCGGTTAGATAATGTAGGGGCCTTAAGAATTACCAACACTATTTGGGTGGTTCCCAAGTATAATTACAGTATAATATACCTCCAAACCCTACTCTAATTCTTAAGGCCCCTATCTATCATAGAACCCTTACAGAGCCCTTTATAGGAACCGTATTCAAATTATTGAGGCCCACATAATGCAGCTTCTGGCCCAAAATCCTAATCGAATTATCAAGGTCCTTATATGGGAGTGTCCGAAAATTAGGGGTACCTTATTTTGGGGTCCTTCTAATAAGGATCCTACTATTTGGGGTACTATAGTGGGGTCCTCTAATTTCCGGAAACTCCCATATTAAGAGGCCTGAAGGTTGAGCTCTCATGGCGGCGCTGTTTGGAGCTCGAGCTTTCGGGTTTCGCGAGCAGAACGGCAACTGTAAGGGGCCTTACTAGTTACCTATACTGTTTTTGGGGGCTCTTTATGATAATTATAGACAAATATACTACTTACCGACACTATTTTTTGGGGCTCCTTCTTATAATTATCGATAAACTATACCCAGGCCCCATTCAAATTATTAAGGGCCCTATATATCATAGAACCCTTGCAGGAGCCCTTCAAAGGAACCCTTAAAGGAGCCCTATTCCAATTATTAAGGGCCCTATATCATGCAGCTGCGTGCCCGCGCCAGGGGTGCCGATCTCATTGGCTCCGGAGCTGCCGATGCCGAAGACGTGCCTCTCAGAGAGACTCGGAGTTATTTCAGAAGCCTTGGCGATTGAAGTCAGGGTTTGGGGTTTAAGGGTTTAAGGAGTTTAGGGTTTGGGGTTTAGGGGTTTAAGGGTTGTAGGGTTTAGGGGTTTAAGGGTTTTAAGGGTTTAGGGTTTAGGGGTTTAAGGGTTTAGGTTTGGTTTTCGGGTTGGGGGTTTAGGGGCTGAGGGCCTATGGTGAAGGCTTAGGGTCAGGGCTCTCCTTTGGGATTCCTCCGTCTCCCGTCGAAACCGGCACCGGATTCATGAGATCAAAAGGGGAAAAGGAGGGACCCTTAATGGGGACCCCTACCCTACAATGGGCTATATAATGGATATATCATAGCTATTTTAAGGGTATATATGATCCCGGTTCTCGGTTCACCGACACGGGGGGGAGTGGGGTAACCAGCCTAAGCAGACCCACTCTCGAACCACACCACAACACCACAGGGGGAGGAGGAACCATTGGGGGGGGGAGGTGGGGGGCCGGCCGAACCGGGATCATGTACCTAGGTCCCTCCTTTTACCCTTGGATGAGAGCCGAGGAGACGACACAGATTGGCAGGGGCGGCAGCGTCGCGGTGCTTGACCGCACACCTCGGTTCTTGCAGACGAACAGCTCTACTACAGACACTTGGCAAAGAGAGAGGGTTTGGGGTTTAGGACTTATGTTTAGGAGTCAGGGTTTAGGGTGGGCCTTGAAAATTTGAATAAGGGTTTGAGGTATACGACTATAGTAAAGCTATATACGGACTGGAAGGGGATCGTATTATTAGTAATTCAGGCCTCCATCTTATGCTTGCTGTTTGGGGGAGTGGATCTCATGTTAAGTCTTGTGGTGCTGCTGCTGTTCAGTGGACGTGTACGAGCGAAGGACGACACGAGCAATTCGACCAGCACTGCGAACGATTCCACGCTGGAGATAACATCGCAGGGACCTCAGGCAGATGAAGCCCTCAAGCTTAATCCCCGAGTCCTTCAACTCTGAGCCCTTAAACCCTAAACCCCCTAAGCCCCTAAGCCCCTAACCCTACAAGCCCGCAGTTTTACGAAGTAGCATTAAAAAGAATGCGGGCTTTCAGTTCAAGTCTTGGTGCCTCGCAGGGCGAGACGGACGAAGCAACCCTGAGCCCCAAACCCACTGTGCGAAGTCGGCAGATAAGGGCAGAAGAAGGGACTCTGTTGGGGTTCAGGGTTAGGGTCAGGGTCAGGGTTTATGGTTAGGAGTTTAGGGTTTAGGGTAGGGTTTCGGGTTGCTTCTTTGCTTCCTTTCCGCTTACCGTATCTTGCTTTGGATACACACTAAGTCCCCTCAGAGTCGGAAACTCCTGTAAGGTTTAAACCCTAAACCCCTAAACCCCTAAACCCCTAAACCCCTAAACCCCTAAACCCCTAAACCCCTAAATCCCTACACCCCTAAACTCCTAAACCCAAAACCTGCAAACCCAAAACCCTTGAACCCTGAACCCCCAAACCCTAAACCCCCAAACCCTGAACCCCTAAACCCTAAACCCTAAACTCCTGTAAGGCTTCTAAACACTACGGCCCGTGCATTTTTGTAGGGCCGCCAGCCTGGCCGCCCTGAAGCCCGAACTCATACGGGTGGTTGTCAAAATCATGGTCCCTTTTTTGTGGGTCCCTATGATAAAACGGGTGTTTGTTGATAATTATGGTCCCTTTTTGGGGTTCCTATGATAATACGGCACCTATTATTTAGGGTACCCAAATAGGGGGCCTTAATTTTGACAGCTACCCAGAACAAGCCGCAACCGCCCGAAACCTCAAGTCTGAACCGCCTGAAACCGTCAACCCTACTTCCTAGAGCCCACTCCTGAAGCCACGGTTTAGGGTTTAGGGTTTAGGGTTTAGGGTTTACCCCTAAACTTAGGGGTACTTAGAAATTATCCTTAATCTTTGGTTATTTTAATGCCTAAGAAGCAGCTAAAACTATACTTTTTTGCTGGGGGTCTAAGTTCGGCATAGTAAGCAACCCTTCCGCACGGGTCCTAGGCCCTGCACCCAGCCCAAGAGCATCTCTGAACAGATCCTAACGCTAAGACCCTAAGATAGAAGCCCGTCTAACTATCACTGCACTTTCTCAGGGTTCCTGAATATAAGTTCTAGCATAGATTAGATACCATCCAACATATCCCATATTCAACCCACAGCCTTAGTTCCAGAGCCAAACCTCAACCGTGAAACCCTCATCGCAACATCCAAAATCCCCTTCTATTTCAAGCCCTCAAGTCTTCTTCAACTCTGAACTACTGAAACATCAGGCCCTGACCCCTGAACTCATATAAACCCTAAACCCGCCAGCCGAGTCCTCAAGCCCTCAATCCAGAACCCCACTTAGAAACTTTAAATCCTCAGCCCTCCTCCACTTTTCCACCCGAAGCCCTCGACCCTCCACGTTTTAAGCCTAAACCTGCAACCCTACACCTCCCAAACCCACTTATATAACCCTTTCCTAAACCCGAGTGCCCTCAACCCGAAACTCCTCACCCCTCTTAGCGCCTACAAAGCCACCATTAATTTGCAACAACAAAAACCTCTCAAGCCCCAACCCAACCCTGTAAACCACGATAAGAGAAGTTATAAACAACTATAGACAACCGTTTAAAAACATCCCAGCTTAGACTTTATACCCTAAGCCCTAAACCCTAAACCCCTAGAGCCCTAAACCCCTAGAGCCCTAAACCCCTAAACCCTAGACCCCTAAACCCTAAACCCTAAGCCAAAACCGATGACTCTAGGCCCGGGGGGAGTCAGAACAACTCCTCGGACCTGCAGTGGTGGGGCTCGGGACCTTGGCAGGGCTATGTTTCTTTGGGGTTTAGGGTTTACGGAGGCCTTTAGACTTGGACCAGTCTTCCGTGTTTCTTTAGGAGGTGGCTTATTGGCAGTATTATTGGTAGAATTCTTATTGCTATCATTCATCTGGTTAGTGTTATTTTAGACTTGGGCCAATCCTCTGTTACTGGTTCTATTCGAGTTTTGTGTTTGTTTTCTCTGTTGGGGTTCCTTTTGTGTTGAGATGGGGTTCTTTTGCGGGGCTTTGTTGCTCTTCGTGGGGAGCAGGGCCGAGTAGGGTATGGGGTTTAGATGTAGGCCTTAACCATGTTGAGCCCATTTAGGTAGAACAGCTATGGCGACTATGGGCTATAGGGGGGGATTCTGACTAATTCTTCCAGACCCTAGGGACTATGAGGGGCTAAGGGAGGCCGTTTTCAATGGCTCGGAGCCAAGCCTCACCCAAGGGAGTCGGGGAGAAGCTGGTCCAGAGACTGATGAGGGCTTTAGGGTTCGGAGCTTTGGGTCCATTGGGGTGTAGGTTTAGGGGTTTAGGGTTAAGGGCCTCGGGTTTACGGCTTAGAATTAAGTGCTTACGTCTTAGGGCCTAGGGCCTCAGATCAAAGGCTCAGGCAGCAGCGGGGGCAGAGGCGGCCACCATCATCAGCTAGAGCAGGAGCACTGCAATCACCACATCCCCCACCGCGACCGCTGCGACTGCTTCTATTGCTGCTGTTGACATTGTGCCAGCTTTTGGTCTTTCGGATGTTTGTCCTCATCGCATCATCAATGTCAAGTTCCTGCTCGCTACATCGTCACTCATCGTCCTTATCGTAATCATGATTGTTGTTGCTACGGCGAGCTAGCTAGCTTCGCATTTTCTGCGTCATGCCCTTTTTTTTCTTGTGTCCTTCGTCTTGTGGATTCTCTCTTGGAGGGATTCTGCTCTGGACTAGCCCTGAACTTAAACTATCAGAATAGGGGTCTAATAGTAACAGTGGGTATAGTTTCCTTATTCTTGTGACTTAAGTTCAGCTTCGTATCAGAAGAACCCAGAAGAAGAGGCTGGGCGATCATCATCTTGGCCGTCGTCCTGTGCATCTGCAGCTTCGGCAAAGTTGTTGCGCCTCATCCAGGGCTTCTTTTCGTGATCAAGGGTGACATTGCGAAGCACGAACCGCCCTAATCTAGTTCTGGTGCGGGATACAGGGTTTAGGGAATCGGAATAGGGCTTGGGCTGAAGGTTTGGCATTTGGTTTGCGTCGGCGTGAATTGCGGATGTAGGATTTGGGTCCGGGGTTGAGGGTTTGGGGGTTGCCGAGTTTATGCTTTCAGTGCAAGGGCCAATGCTGGAAGTGAGGTGTCACGGAGCGCAGGTCAGTTTTTGCGTAGGAAACGGCAGTGAGCTTCGTGGTTTGAGGCCAGGCAACCGTCGTTGTTTGAACGGTTGATGATATAAATCCTGCATTACCTTGTGGACCCTAAACTATGGGAATCAGGGTATATTCCTTATTATGGGTCATGCAGGGTTTATATCATCAACCGAAGCTCTAGAATTTTGTGGATCGCCCCCCGTTCCTCCCTGCTCCAGGCTCCCCTGGCTCCCCTGCTACACGTAGACTTCAAGTTACTGCGGACCACGGGCTTAAACACCAAGGCGTTTCTTGAGTTTATGAGATCTTAGGGGTACTTAGAAACAATTTTAATCTATGGATATTATAATCCCGAAGAAACAGCTAAAATTACAATTTTTGCTTGGGTTCTAAGTTCAGTATAGTTTAACATAGGGTTTAGGGTCTATGGCTACTGCTGCTGCCTCTGCTAATTGCTACTCCGACTGGTGCTGCTACTGATTCTGCGACTGCGGCTACGACTGCCTTTTTAAGGAGCTTTTGGGGTGGCAGATGTCAGAAAGCACCCCCAAACTCTAAACCCTACCTTAACCCTGAATATCCTACCTTTTTAAGGACCCTATGTAGGGAAATCATACTCAGGAACCCTGATACTGAAGGTTTCTTGGGGTCCAGGTACACCCTAGCCCTGGCAGGTTTCTGGTACTGCAAAACTTGCGGGCCTGAGCCGGACAGCACAAGCGGGCGCACCTTCGAATTCAAGGTGAGCTTCGAAGGGGCTTCAGGGATTTTTGAATGGGGCTCTTGGCATTTTCTGTGTCTTTCGAGATGTTTTTGGTTACTGTTTTTGTTTTAGGTGCCTGTTGAGGACGGTCTTAAGGGGTCGTGGGAGGAGGACTTTCTTTCTTGAAGGGTTCGAGGGTTTTAGGGTTTCAGAGAGTCTCAGGGATTCAAGTCTGTTAGGACACGGTTCTCCCACTCAGGCTCGTGATTCTTTAGATACCACATATACAGGTGGATTTAGACATGTTGCTTGTCAACAGAAGGCTTGTTGGGAAGTCTGTTAAGATTGGCCGGTTTTGGGGTTCGGGGTTCAGGGGCAGGGAGTAGTGCAGAGGTAGTTTCGGGGCTGAGGGGACGTCTTCTTCATAGTTATAGTATAATGGACCGCAAGTCCTTCTTCTAATTATTCAGGCCCCTATACTATCTTGCAACCGCCGAACGCATCGATGACAACCTCTCTGCGCAGGCCAAATCCGTCGTCCCAGCGCAAGAGGAAGAGGCCTCATCACTTAGAAGAGGGTAAGTTTCCATTTGATCACCGTTTGGCTGCGGTTCTGCTCTGTTCCGGACGGCTTCTCGGCGATACCCTAAACCCTAAACCCTAGATTGCACAGCATCATGCGCAGCGCCGGAACGTGCAATCCCTGCTGCGACTTGTGGTCCAAGCAGACTCCGCAGAGTCTACCCTTCTAGATGGCCTGGATGGCTTACATCGGATTCCGATCATAGGATCTATCAGCCTCTGAGAGCCTTCATGACGAGTGTGGCGTAACACACACCTAAGAACAAGTTGTGTCGTCTCATCACCGTGTAGAACTGTAGAAGGGGTCTGGAAGCTCGCTACCAGCCGGTCGCAGCTTCCCACTTAACTTGCAAGGAAGCCTTAAACACTTAAACCTAACTACTCTAACTGCTCAAACTATCAACCCCATAAGCCCTACAACCCTGAACCCCCTGAAGCCTTAAACCCTAAACCCCACGTATTCCATCCTTTGTCCCGAGGGGTTTAGGCCTGCATGGTCAGAGGATGGCCTGATAGCTAGATGCTGGTGCGCCTCCCGGGCTGTCAAGCGAGAGTCAAAGCACCTCGGTTGACTCCCGTCTCTCCGAAAGGCAGGGGAGGGATCCCTTCCTTCCCTTCCTCTTCCTCGCAGTGCTCTTCCGGCGGAAATCGCGGCTTTCCTGGGGTTTCCGTAACAAGGTAGGGCTTTGGGACATTTTATATTTTCCCTTATTGGGCTTAAGAGGCTCTTATTTACTAATATTTTTCAAAGGCTTTAAAAGCCCCACCTAGGTAAGCCGTACCTTAAACTACCATAACCTACTTTTTTGTAGGCTCTTATTATAAACCCTAATGAGGGATTTATAGGGACCCTACAAAAAAGTAGGTTTTGGTCGGTTCAGGTAGGGTTTAGACCCTAAACCCTAAACCCTAAACCCCTACACCCTAAACCCTAAACCCCTAAACCCCTAAACCCCTAAACCCTAAACCCTAAACCCCTAAAGCCCTAAAGCCGCCCACCTAGGTAAGCCTTGGCCTGGCTTTGGGCCTCGGCGCCGCCTCCCGAAGTTCGAAGTCCAGGCTCCGAGGCGCTTCCGCTATGGCCTCCACCTCGGAGGCCCCGGAGGCCCAATAGCAATAATGTAGTAATAATAGTGGCAACAACAATAATAACAATAAAAACAATAGTAACAATAAAATCAATAATAACAATAATAACAATAGAAATATTATAATGATAATGATGATAATAATAACAACAATAGAGGCCGTGTCCCTGCGGTGCCTGGTCTCCCAATGCGTGGACCTGGCCCAGCGCGCCGGCGCGCTGATCCGGGGCATCTCGGAGAGGGCGGCGACGGAGGAAGGCCGGGAGGCGCTGCGCTTGCACGACAAGGGCTCCGGCACTGGGAACCTTTGTCATAGTTAGGTAACATTTTACATTTTTATGGCTACTTAAACCCAATAAGGAATAAGAATATAACGTGTTAATCCTATCCCCACCATGATCTTAATTTTTTAATCCTATCTCAACCATGAGCTAGGAACTTTGATCCGCAGACCGTGGCCGACCGCCAGGCACAGCGATGTGTCGTTGAGAACTTGCGCGCCCTCTACGGCGCCTCCCTGAGGGTGGCTTGGGCTCTTGTTCAGGAGCTCCCTTCTGTTTATTGATGAATAGTAATACTATAGTAATAATATTTGTAACAATACCAATAATAATGACAACAATGATAATAGTAACAGTCATAGTAGTATTAACAATAATCAGAACAGTATTACTACTAATAATAGCAACAATAATAATAGTAGTGTTATACTGGAGATCTTCAGTCAGTAGAACCCGCACACTGCTCTTCTAGCACCCCAGAGCTCGGAAAGCACCTCTGAAGAGCCTTGATAGACCCCTTTTATAGTGAACTTTAAAGACCCCGTTCATGGAGCGCCCTCATAGTCAGAGGGTTGCCTTATCAGAGCCTTAAAGACCCCTTGAAGGAAGCCCTTAAACCCTAAACCTAAACCCTAAACCCTTACTTAACATCCTAAAAACCTTTTTTTGTGATCCCTTTAAGGCACCCTTTAAACATCCTTTTAAAGCATAGTTATAGATCCCTTTAAGGAGCCCCTTAAAGGATCCCCTAAAGGAACCCCCGAGCCCCACCAGGTGGTGGGGGAGGAGGGCGATCTCGGCCTTGAGGAGTCCGGAGATGGCGATGCCGTGGAGATTCGGGAGCCCTCGGCCTCCTTGCTTCTGGGCTTCTGTTTAAGGGCTTAGGGGTTTAGGGGTTTAGGGTTCAGGGATTTATTTAGGGCTTTAGGGTTTAGGGGTTTTGGGGCTTAGAGGTTTAGGGGTTTAGGGGTTAGGGTTTGAAGGTTTGGGGTTTAGAGGTTTTTTCGGGTTTTAGGGTTTAGGGTTTGGGGTTTAGGGGTTTTAGGCTTCCGGGCTTTTGTCCAAGAGCTTACTTTTAGGCTTCGGGTTTGGGGGGCTATTTAGGAACTTACTTGAAGTTTCGGGTTTCAGGGGGCTTGTTAAGGAACTTACTTTAAGTTAGGGTTTAGCGTTTAGGGTTGAGGGGCTTGTTAAGGAATGTTCTGTACGGTACCATAAAAAAGGAAACCGCTTTGTTTCTCTAGATCTCTGTCACGGCAAGTTATGGCAACTTGGACTAAGTTCCTTAACAAGAACCCAGGCTTTCGGATGTCTGGCCGGAGGAGAGGGTTTAGGGTTTAGGGGATGTCTGGCCGAAGGAGACCCTCTTTAGGTTAAAGTTGCTCTGAGGGTTCGATAAGGGTTAAGGGTTCCTGAAGGCTTCTGAGCGTGGGGATTAAGGGTTTGTGGCTTCGGGTTTCTGGGTTAACCCCGAACCCGTAAAGCACCGCAAGGAGCCAACGTCCCCAAGCCCTGGAGATCCAAATCACCAAACATAAACCACCTTAAGCTTGCTTTCAGATGTCTGGCCAGAGGAGACCCTTTTGTTGAGGTTAGGGTTACAACAGTTACTATAGGCTTCCTGGCCTTCAGATGGGTTACTGTAGGATGTCTCGGATGTCTGCCCAGAGGAGAGGGACGTGGTCCTACCTCTCTCGGAGCTCTGCATTTGGGTCGACCCACTCGATGGAACCAAGGAGTTCACCGAGGGTCGCTACGAGTTCGTGTCCACCTTGATGCTTGCCTCGAGTGTTTCTTGTGCACACGGTTTATGCTCCAGGGTTCAGGGTGGGTTTAGGGTTTGGGGGTTTCTTTCCTGCGATCCCGGCAGTTCTGCGACATGGCGGGGGAACTTCAATCTCACCGCAGGAACGTTCGTGACTCTGTCAGGCTGTTTCAACCGATGACATGGGAATAGGAGTCGCATTCCATGTTTGTGCATGTAGAGCACGGCAAGTTGGGTTCACACCAAGTTCAGCCGTTTCATTCCAGTTATTCACAATGAATGATACTGCACATAATCACTCTCATGTATTCGTGCTCAAAGTGCAGCAGTTTGGTTCTTCCTACGCAGCCATGGCTATGGCCGATTGCAACGGAGTCACATGCTGGCAAATCTTCAGCGATGGGGATGAAGTACCCTATTGTTGTGAGAATGGGGGCGTTTGTGGCGGAAAGGGGAGAGCGGGAATGTGTGATTGTAAGCCTGGCTTCTATGGTTCAGCTTGCAGGCAATCTGACGAAGCTCGCATTCTCAACTCTACGTTCATCGTGCCTATGCCACGCGCTGCCGTGCTCTCTATTCCAATCCTGCCCACGCTGGGCATTGTTTGCACGGGGCTTTTCGTGCTGATCTTTTGGATGATTCGGTGCAAGAGGAGTCTGCTTAAGGGGGCTTAATAATTTCCTATACTATTTTGGGGTTCCTTAATATATATATATATATATATATATATATGTGTAGTATGAGATCCCCCAAAGCCCTATTCCCCGAATGTAGAACCCTACTAGAGATACCCTTTAAAGGACCCCCTTAAAGAAACCCTATTGTATTGGTTGTCAAGGGCAGCCTCGCAGTGCAGTGATGCGAGCGCCTTTTTAGCCGTGGAAAGTTTGGGAGCTGTGCCAAGGTTGAAGCCCACAGCCGCACGAGCCACGCTCTAGGCAACAATGACCAGAGAACGCTGAGAAATCAGATTGCCAGCTCAAAAGGGTGGCTTTTGCTGGGCATTTTTTTACCGTTCTTGGGTTGGACGAGGCATGAGCTCCCATCAGTTTCCAAAACCTGTCCTTCAGAGATGATTCAACCAAGACCAATACCGCACCCTTGGCATCATGATAGTCATGAACGTGTTTGCCACTTGACGCGTCAAGGTTAGGTCACCCTACACCGGCAAAGTGCATAGCATGAAGGCATAGAGAGTCCCTGAGCTTACCTTCGGTTAGTAAGGAATGGAAGAATTAATAGTAGCTATAATTGTACCCCAATCCTCCATTATCTGCTAACCAAAGGTAAGTGAGTCCAAATCTAAACCCCAAGACCTGCTGTGAGACATCAGCTCCTGTTGTCCCCCAAGCGGTGCTGCAACGGATGGGCTCCTGTTCCCGTAAAAGGAGCCTGAATCCTGAGGATCGGGATCAGTCAGCTCGGTCAGCCCGTCGCCGGCGTTATTTCCGAGCCCTACAACGTCGACCCCAAGGTAGGGTAGAGGAGGGAGGTTCTTCGGTGTTTATGGGCTACCACAGAGCTTCGGACAGAGCTAGCGATAGAAGGTCCTATGAGGGTTTGAGTTCTATAATAAGAGCCTGCAAAGCAAAGATTGTTCGAGAGTTTCTTCAGGGTTCTTCAAGGACCTACAGTAAGGGTTTCAATATCATTCAATATCACGCTAGAGGATTATTCTTTTGAGTTTTTTGTCTCAAGTGCTGCCTTTGTGTTTGTAGGCGGGTTCTGACATAGAGGCCTTGCCGATTACCTGTCCTATGTTGGGGCTTCCTCATTAAAGTCATAGTATAATGGGTGCCAAAACCCTTTTGCGGGTATAAGGGGCCCCGAAGCCTAGAACCCCACTTAGATCCCCTATAGACCCCATTAAAGGACAACTTAAAGGAACCCTATTCTACTTATTAAGGCCCGTATATTACCCCAAGCCCTCAGAAGCTTCACCGAAGTCTCCCAGTTTAACAGGGCTCCTATGGGCGCATCCTCTGGGGGTGCTGCGTCGACCCTGGTGTTGCGGTGCCCGGGAAGGATTTTGGGGTTTAGGATCCTCAGGCAAGTCGGAGGCTGTTGGTTCAGAGATCTGGTTCAGGGTTCCTTCAACCCTAAGAGGCCCCCTAAACGTTTAACCCCCAAAACTTAGGTTTCGGGGGAAGTTTGCGAAGCATGCAGTTCTCGAACCCTTCGTGGGCGGCTTGTCCTTGGAGCCCTCTCGGGTTGCCTCGTTTTAGGACTCAGGGCAGTTGATACTCTGGAAACCACGTACATACTTAAAGGATCATGGGACTTAGTAACTAGGGGGTTATAATTAGGGTAACTATACTTATAACCCCAATTAAGGTACTTATAACCTTACTTACTAAGTCCCATGATCCTCCAAGTAGCCCCTCCCTTACTCAGAAGCGCCCAAAAAGGTGCACCTTTTTGGTGATGCATCCTGGGAGCGCCCGCCGCGGCCTCCTGGTCGCTGCCTGACGTTAGTGTCGCGATCCCGAACGGCCGGTGAGGCGCGCTTTCTACCGGGGAGGAGGAAGGGCTTTAATATGGGAGTTTCCGAAAATTGGGGGTGCCTTATTTTGGGGTCCTTATAATAAAGATACTAGTATTTAGGGTACTATATTAGGGCCCCCTGTTTTCCGAAACTCCCATATAGGGGCCTTCATGATTGCCAATATTATTTCGAGGTTCCTTGTTTTAATTAGAGTATCATGGGCCCCCAACCCCTATTTTGATTATCAAAGCCCCTATATAACCGGGGTTTTGGGGATGTTAACTTGAAGCCTGAACCCCAAGCCCTTACCCCCCAAACTTCTGACCCTTGAACCCTGAACCCCAAACTCCACAAAACCCAAAACCCCTAAACCCCCTAAGCCCTAAACCCAGAACCCCATACTCCACAAAAGCCTTTTTTTTGAGGTCGCCGAGGCTCTGGAGCGGCTCAGAGAGCCGGGAACGGCGGGGCCCTGGCCGCCCGGGGACGCCGGGCCGCTGGCGACTCTGGTAGCGCTTGGTTTGGGGTTCAGGGCCTTCTTTAAGGGTTAAGGGTTTAGAGTTTAGGGTTTCGGGTATTTAGGGGTTTAGGGTTTAGGGGTAGTTTAGGGGTTGAGGGTTTAGAGTTAAGGGTTAAGGGTTTAGGGGTTAGAGTTTAGGGTTTAGGGGTTATGGGTTTAGGGTTAAGGGTTTAGGGCCTTCTTTAAGGGTTAAGGTTTTTCGCGTGCCTGGGCAAGGACCCATACTCACCGTACGTATTTCGGGGGCTTTTCGCATGATTAGTTTTGGTTCTATAACTCTATAGTATAACTGCAACTTACAACTCTTACCATTTGTGTGACCGTGCCGTCAAGAGGGACCTAGCCCCAAGCTGTATGCCGTCCATGCCTTTGCCTTGACGCCCTAGCCCTGAAGCCATAAAACCCCAAAGCCTCAAAAACACTTCAAGCCCTTGTCAAAGTCATTCGCTTCTTCATCCTAGCCCGAACCCCAAATCCCCAAACAACCCAAACCCTACAGCCCAACTTCCGGTGACGCCCTTAAGGGCCCCTCTACATGGATCCCTTTATAGCAACCCACTTGAAGGAGCCCTGCACCGTTTTAAGTCTCGCCTTTCAAAGCTTCGAAGCTGAGGTGACGGGGACCCTGGAAACCGGCGGAGCTGGCCACAAGGACCGGGGTCCCAAGACTTGGTAATACCATCCCTGAGGGTGTGGGGCATTTAGGGTTTAGGGTTTAAGGGGTTTCAGGATGCGAAAGTTATATTACGGTATTCTTCTCATTAGCAGGAATCCTACGGAGTAGTAATCTACCTAAGCCTCAATGCCAAGCTTTCAGAAAGCTCATTGCCAATCCACGACACCCCTGGAACCTTAAGCCGTCCACCCGCAAAACCACAATAAAGTTCTGATCAAGCCCTGAACGAACTTGTGAACACGTAGCCTTAGAAGCCACCACCAGGTAGCCCGTGTGGTGGATGGGGCTGCAGACTTGTGGCTTTTTCCAAGACCGGGAACGTCCCGATGGGATACCTGTGCGGCGGAAGCGATGCTGGAGGTTTCGGGGCGTCTGTTTGTTTTTTATTTTGGAGTTTTGGGGGTTAAGGGTTTTAAAATTCTTAAGGGGTAGACGTACGGTTACCCTTTTCTAATTCTAGGGTTTCGGGATAGTGAGCTGTTTCGCTTGGGTTTCGGTGCGAAGTCAGAGGATTTCTAGGTTTAAGGGGTTAGGATGATATCGTAAAGTGGCCCTTTCTCGATGACCTTCACTTTTGTTGCATTCCTTCTCGAACTTGGGTTGCAACTCCTGCTGGCTTGTAAATCCGAGGCATTTTAACTCAGTCTGGGCGTCTCCCAAGTTTGATTCGCACGAGCACTTAGTCACGACGATCACCATCTGACCATCTGCGTGTGTCAACTTCATCTCTGCCTGCCCTCCTGACCCTTTCCAGCCTGGCCCCAGTGGTATTTCGTGTCCCTGAACCCTAAAACTTGACCTGTTTACTCCTCAACCCCAACAGAACCTGCACGCTAAAGTTAAGCCCAAAGCCCTGCGCTCCGGCAGAGGCCTGTGGCGGAGTGCTGAGGGACCGCAGCGGCGGCCGGATCTGTTACGATCCCGACACCAGCATGGGGAACTCGGAGGGGGTTCTCGCGGGGGCCGACGAGGACGGGTTTCTGGCTTTGGGAAATTGGGTTTGAGTTAGGTATTTCGGACCTCTTAGGTCCTACTAGTAGGGTGTTTTTGCCAAAGACCCCGACACCGTGAACCCAAACTAAGCCACTAGAGTCCAGAACTTACATTCCAAAGCCTGAAGCTTCAAAGCTGATCAAACCCCACAGAATTTACAAAGCCCTTACCCGCGCGAGCCCCGAACCCTAAGCCCCAGATCCATGAAGCCATGGCCCGTGCGAGCCCTGAACCCGAAACCCTAAACCAAGTCCGGTGAGGGCATCGTGGCCGCAGCCGTGCGCGTCTGTGCGACGCTGGACGTAGCCAAAGACGGAGCTGGCCGGCCGCTTCTGAGGCCTTGGCTGGAACAGGCGGGATGTTAAGTATAGGGGCCTTGATGATTATACTAGGGTTTCGGGGGCTCATTATACTTTAAATACAATCAAGAGCCCCCAAAATAATAGGCCCCTACAGCAACTATAGTAATGACTTGTTATGAAGTTTGTTGCAGACAAACACGATATCTATGTCTATCTCTATCATGCATATATACATATAGAGACATCGGCCCCCACTTACACCTTAAAGCTGGACTGGTGTGACAAGCGCGTTCCTTAGGGTTTGGTGGGTTTAGGCGGTTTCTGTTCTGCACGAGATTTGGGGCTTCCTGCTCTGTAATATCTAATAGAGGCCGACCTTAAACTGCCAGAACCTACTTGTATGTAAGTTCTTATTATCTGCCCTAATCAGAATTTATAGGGACCCTACGAAGAAAAGCGTAGGTTGTGGCAGCTCAAGGTAAGCCTAAACCCCAAACTCCTAAAACCTTCTTAGGGTTCCCCATTATGTTTTCCTTATACAAGTCCTGAAAGAGGTAGGTTCTACAGGGTTAAGGTAAGCCCTGTAAGGGCCTTAGACCTTAAGAAGAGGCGCTGAAGCTCCCAGAAAAGTCTCTGCGGGCTTTCTGCGTGGAGGAAGACTGCGCAAACTTTGTCATTGTTGGGTAACATTTTAAGGGATCTTTAGGTTCTTTTAAAGGGATCTATAGGGTTCCTTATACGGGATCTATAGGGTTGGGTAGCATGGTATATGGGTACTTAACCCCATAAGGAATACAACTTTGCATCTTTAGTACTATCCCAACCCTGGACCCTAAACCCTATACTCTAAGCCCTAAACCCTAAACTCTAAACCCTGAACCCTAAACTCTAAGCCCTAAACCCTAAACCCTGAAACCTCTTCCAACCACGAACTAGGTAAGGGGAACCCACGCCTCGGTCCTGCGGTTGAAGCTCTGCTTCTCATCCGCAGCTTGGCCTGTTGGAATTCTCTTTGGGGACTTTTGCGTGTAGGGGTACCTACATCTGGCTGCCTGTTAAAATGTATTGACTGTATGTGCAGATAAGAGTAATATATATATATATATATGTACATAGAAACATGTGCATACATGTAAAGGGTTTAGAGTTTAAGGTTCGGCGTGAGGAGCTTGAGGTTAAAACTTAGCCTACCGGAGCCCCAAACCCCAAACCCTGAACCCTTAACCCCAAAATGAAAAAACCCAAACCCTACAACCCTAAACCCCTAAACCCTAAACCCCTAACCCCTAAACCCCTAAACCCTGAACCCTCAACCCTACCCTTAAAGGAACTCCTAGGGCTCCTTTAGTACGTGAAAAAGCCAAGGATGGCGTTCCAGTGCCCGAGGCTCTGATCCTGAAGCGCGCTGCGCCCAGGGACGCACTGCACGTGGCACTGTACACCCGGGAGCCTTTGATGGGCTCTTAGCAAGGAAGCGATGCTTTTAGTTTTTTCGTTCATATGTCTGTATGTAACATATATATAGATATGTAAACACATATATATATACACATATATATATGTGTATATCTATATACATATATAAACAAATACAAACAAATATGAACCGAAATAAACAAGTATATAAGTATCTCTCTCTCTCTCTCTTTCTCTCTCTCTCTCTCAGTATATATATATATATGTATAGCACATTCGCATTACGACTAGGGCATATGGTGCACCTACTTCGGTGTGCCTCGCTTCCCAGCAGCAAGGAGTGCCTCTTCTTTGAGACCTGCGGCCCGATGCTCCGGGATCCTGGGCTCTTAAAAAAGGAGCGTAGAGCCTGAGTTGGGGTTTTAGGGTTTTGGGTTTAGGGTTGAGGGTTTTAGGGTTTAGGGTTTTGGGGTTTAGGGTTGAGGGTTTTCGGGTTTAGGGTTTTGGGGTTTAGGGCTTTAGGGTTTTAGGGTTTAGGGTTTAGGGTTTAGGGTTCCCGTTCAGGGTTTAGGGTTTAGGGCTTTGGGGTTTAGGGTTCAGGGCTTAGGGTTGCGAGAGTCCTGGGCTCTTCTAAAGGAACATAGGGGAGTTTCCGAAAATTAGGGACACTTTATTTGGGGGGATCCTTATAGTAAGGATCCTACTACTTAGGGTACTATATTAGGGTCCCCCGTTTTCGGAAACTCCCACATAAAGCCTGAGTTACGATAGCTAGGTTTCCTTTAGGGCTTTAAGGGCTCTTCTAAAGGAAACATAACAGCCTAAGTTACCATAGCTTTAGGATTCCCTTCTGAGGGTTCATTAAGGGTTTAGGGTTTAGGGTTTCAGCATAAAGTTACCACAACTTTATGGTTTCGTTTCTGAGGTTCAATAAGCGAGACGTGCCACAACTTTACGGTTCCTTCAAGGGCTCTTCTAAAGGAGCTGAAGGTTCAAGGTATCATAATTCAAGGTTTAGGGTTTACGGTTGGTCTGAGTTACCATAATTTTGGGGTTTCGCTCAGGGTTCTAGGAGGGTGTTGGATTGAGGAACTCAGGCTAAGTTGCCATGCTTTAGGGTTCCTTTTTAAAGAGTTCTAGAAAGAAAACCCGGTTCAGGAACTTAGCTTAAGGTGCGATACTAGGGATCTACACTATCGTAAATAATGCGTACGCTAAGTTCCTGAACAGGAACCCTAAACCCTAAACCCTTTCGGCACCTTTCGGGATGCGGGAAGTCTCAGCTGCAGCGGAAACCACCCTCGGCACAGACTTCAGAGCCCTAGCCGATCCGGGGAATGGGCACTCTTGTCCAAGTACGCTCGTTTTGAGCGCACACTCCCTTTGGAAGCGCTTGAAACAAGAACCTCTCAACCTGCTCATAGCAGTCGGAGCGCAGGCCAATACTGCACACGGGTAACTTGATCGCCAGAGCCACCGAGTAAGGTCGCGCTTCTGCCGTAAGGAGACGCCCACGACCATGAGAGACAACGGCCCTGACCTGTTGTCGAAAGTAGCGAGCGCGAATGGCAAAGGAAATGCCGGCAAGTCGTGGCTCCTCGTCGGATACATGCACCCAACGACGCGTGCCAGCATCCCAGACTGGAGGCACAATGTGGGTCTCAAAGCAAAAAGCCAAATACAGCTGAGCGAAAGAATACCACTGCACTGCATGCTGAGGAAGCTCAGTCAATCCCACCAACCATTGCGAAATGGCCAAAACAAATGGGTCCCCGAACTTCAGCAAAGCCCTCGGCAAAGGCTCAGACAAGGCATGAATCACAGGGACCGCGGTGGCGGCGCCAACTGCCTTGTCCTCCCACAATGTATCCTTACCAGCCGTAGCCTTGGCCGCAACCAAACGCTGATGCCGCAGGGCCGCGGTCGCTTTGAGTTCCTGCAGAGTGAAGTCCCGCCTGACATCATTCCACAACGCCCAGAAAAAATCCGACCGTTGAGCATTGGCCTTGTCAGCGGCAGCATCCGCAGCTGCATTATTGTGAATAAGCCAGTCATCCACAGCCGAAAGAGACGCATCGGCGTCAACGTGAGCCGCAACCTTGTGGACAGTCCAGGGAACCGTGAGCCTGGCCAGGACATCGGCAACTTGCTGCCAGAGGTCAAAGTTGAGCATAGACGGCCTCAAAGAAATCAGGCCAGAACCCATTCGAGTCAGTTTCCGGACCACCCCCGCGCAGTCAGACCAGATACGAACGGCGCGCCCAGTCTGCAGAGCCAGCTTCAAGGCTGACAGGACCGCAAAGATCTCCGCCCGAAAAGCTGTCTGGACTATGCCAGGCAGAGCACCTGCCGCCAGGACCCAAGGCCGTACCGTAGAATCCACAGCCAGGACAACAGACCACGACGCCAGACGAAGCTGAGGAACTGTGGGTAAAAGGCAAGAGCCGTCCGTAAAGACATCCAGTCGTGCAGGTAGAGAAGCCGGCAAATCAAACTGACCACTCCTGTCGTCAATTGCAGCCAAAGCCTGCCAGAGTTCAAGCTGTTTGGCCGGTCGCAAAGCCCAGCCACGTAAAAACTGCACCGGCAGATCAGTCGCAGGATCCGGTAGCTCGAAGGCAGAACATTGGGCCCGGCAGTCTTCAAAGGCGCTACAGTACCAAAGCCGATGCTGCACACTATCCGGCTGACGGCAAAAGCGACAATGCAAGGAATCCGCAGGGTCCTGGCTGAAGTGGTGCAAGGCATCTTGCGTGAAGAAGGCTCCAGCTTGGGCCAGCCTCACATTGAGCCGATCCTCGTCCTTCCAACCCTTGAGTAGGCGATTAGTCAAGGCGGCATCAACCCTGGACATCCCCGAAAAACCCGAGCGAGACTCCAACTCCGAACCAACCCGAAACTGCCATGCATACACCAGGCGGTGCATCAGCTCCTGTGGGCTGACCTGCCATGGGTCAAACGTCGAGATAGCATCTCGCAAGCAATGGCCATCAGGACACCAGGCCCAGCCGAGAGCATGACATCGTTCCAAGAAGGGCCCGGGGGCCATTTGCTGAGGGACAGCAGGTGCTCAACAACCGGAACAAAAGAGGTAGGCTCGGCAAAGGCTCTCAGGTCACGAAAGATCGCAGCAATGGCAAAGAACTGCGGGTCAGCTAACGGGAAGCAGCAGAAGCTCAAGAGAACCTTAGAACTAAGCCCAGGCCTATCGAACCCCAGACCCCTAGAAGCACCGGCCCGCAAGGTGGCAAAAGTGTCATCACTCAAAGACGTGGCCGACACACCATGCAAAGCTTTGGGCCAAGCAGAGGCCGTAAGAGCCAGGAGCTTCTGCTTCAGTGGCGAAGGCGACACCGCAAGGCGAGGCCAAAGATCCTGCAAAGAGGCGATTCTGTCGGAAATCGTCGACAGCCGCCGGGCCCGGGTGAACACCATGTTGCCGCCCAGATTCCGAGCAGAGTGAGCAACAGAGACTCCAGAGCGGCGAAGCAGGCGCCGGTCCTCAGCACGCGTTGCCCAGTGGACCGACTTAGCAGGATCCATAGCCAAGTCCCAGCCCCGAACAAACTCCGAAACCGCCTGAAGGGCAACCTGAACCTGCGGGACACCCCTGTTCATCAACTGCCAATCATCGACAAAAGTGGTTAAGGAGCCCGCACCGGCCGATGCATCCACATGCCTGTGCAAGGCAAAGTCAACCAGCATCATAGCCACGCAGCTAAGGGCGCAGCCTTCGGGAAAGCCCGTGTAGCTGGGGAGAGCAGGCCCAGTGGCCCCACGGATCTGAAACCGACGTGCCAGCTTAGCGACGGCACTGCTCCATGCAACAACCAGCTCCCGAGGCAGGCCTAACTTGAGAGCTAAAGCAAAGACCGGTGGTCGAGGCAAGGTGTTGAAAGCCTTCGACAAGTCCAACAACACACCGACCAAAGGTTGGTCCTCCATATGCGCCTGCTCGATGGCCAACTGCATTTGGTACCAAACGCATCCAGCAGATCGCCCAGGCATATTGCCAAACAGAGTGGGAGGGGCGATGGAGGCAAGGTGCCGCAGGGCTTCCTTGGCCCGAAGTGAGGACCACGTCCGCTATGTGACAGACAGAACACAGATGGGCCGGTACTGCATCACGGTGGCAGCATCAGGAACCTTTTCCAGGGCCGAGACCCGCGCATCCAGAACCTGGGCCGGCCAATCGCCAGTACTCTCAGCCCGCCCGCAAAGGTCAAGTAAGCCCTGCGTGCAGGCATCCGGCAGTGCCAGAAGGTCCGCGCGAGAAACCCCATCCGGCCCAGTAGCCGAGTGAGCGTGCTTAGCCTTAACCGCGGCTCGCCAAACCGGAGGCGTGAGCGCCTGGAGGCCAAGGGAGGCAGAGGAAAGCGCAGGCAACGTTTCCAAAACCTGTTGCCAACAATCAGCATCGATGTGTTCGTGACGCATCCACCGCTTTGACCATTCGGCACCAAAAGCAGCGAAGAGGCCAGGAAGGTCAGCAATAGTTTGCTGCTGGGAAATCACTTGACCCACAGTGACACGAGAGACCTCACCCCAAAGCTTATCCTCCTCCGCGTGAAAGACGGTCAAAGGCGAATCCTCCACAAAGAACCCGGCCTGGGGTCGCCACCGAACCGGCTCAGCAAAAGCTACCGCGCTTTCCTCGGGAAAGACCTGAGACACCACAGCTGAAACCTTATCCACCACAGTCTCAACCGGCTTGGCAGGAGGCCCGCGGAGATCCTTAAACACCAAGGAGGGGTTATCAACCCGCCGTTGCTTCGCAGCTTTTTGGCGACTGTTCTTCAGCCGACGTTCCAGCTTCTGAACATTGGCCTGCAAGGAAGCAAAGATAGCCTCCGCCAAAGCCCGATCGGGCAAAGCAGTGCCCAAACAAAGCGGATCAGCAGAAGCGATGACCTCACGTGTCGGCCACCACTGCCGGAAAGAAGGCTTGAAGCCAGGGGCCTTGAGGATAGCGTGCCAAAGCCCAGCTCGATACTCACAGGCCGCATCCGAGGGAGTGGTCTTGCACAAGGCTTGGCAAAGGGCCTGCGCCCGTCGCAATTGGCGGAACCACTGCACATACTGTCTATCGGGTCCAAAGAAAGTCGGAGTTACTTCCCCATGACGGCCCTTAGGCACAACCCCTTGAAAAAGGGAGGCAACATGCACATCCCTAGTGGTAGCACGGCCTCGCTCAGAAGCCCGAAGCGGCGGTTGGCCACAAGCCACAAAGGCCTCAGAGGCTGCATCCTCGTACCTGTTCCAAATGGCACGGTAAGCCTCATCAGAGGATGCAGGCAGGGGAGTACACGAGGAATCCTGCATGAGACGAGCGACCTGGGCCGGGATCACACGCTGCCGGGGCATGCGCCACAAAGGAAGAGGCTGTTGCAAGCCTTCAGCAGTGAAAGTAGCTGAGAGGAGAGAGTGGTCACAGAACCACGTAGGATCAACCTCGACCCTTTGCAACAGGGGCTGAAGCTCCGCAGAAATCCAGACATAGTCCTTGCGAGTAGAATTCTTGCAGGTGACCTGTGGAAGCGAGCCAGTACGCTGGTGCCACAAGTCCTGAACCTCAGCAAAGCCATTGTCGGCCCACACCGAAGCGTGATGCAGGGCATGCGGCTCCAAGTTAAAATCGCCAGCCAGGAACCGAGGACCAGTGCCCTGCACACGCTGAGTAATGGCCTCCAGGAGGACCTCGGTTGCCTTGGGTGCCGCCGGTAGGCCGTAAACCACCGCACCCAAAATCCAAGTTGAACCAACCAGGAAGGAAGCAACCTGAAGACGAGCCGAAGAGAAAAGGGAAGGCTCAAAGGAATGTGGGGCACCGCGGCCGGCGAAAGACGAGAGGAAGCCCACACCCGTGTAGTCACCAGTCACGTGACTCCGAGCCCTAGCTGGCGCCGGCGGGCCAGCCACGTACCGGAAGTGTGACTTGGCAGAGTGGAGTCCAGAACGAAACAGCTCAACACCCCGCGCCGAAAGATGTGTCTCAGAAATTGCAAACAAGCCCCGTGGCAAATCCGAGAGCACCCCATGCTTGCCGTTAAGTCCAGTCGGGTTAACGGCCCCAATGACAAACTGTGAATCAGAAGCCTCCGAGCCCGTGCTATTGACTGGCCCAGGGTGAGCAGCCTCACCAAAACGGAAGGAACGAAAAGCGGCCAAAGCCGCGGCATGCCTGAACGGAAGGGAGGCAGCCAGAACGCAAACGGCGGGCATAAAGACCCCAAGCCCGCACCTTAAACAACTGAAGAAAGAAAAGTCGGACCTCAGAAGTCCCAGCCAGGGCCTTCGCCCGGGCAAAAGAGGCGAGGCCAAGAAACCCACAGGACCAAAGGAACCCAAAGGCAGCAAAGCACACTGCAGTACCACCGCCGGTGTCCCACAACTCCTCCTCAGGTGGGTGCTGTGGCCCCAAGAATGCCTCCAAGCAACCCCCCTCTCCCAGGCCGGGAGAGGGGGTTTGCTTTTCGGGAGTTTTACCAAGAGTCACTCCTGTCGCTGGCGCTTAGCGAGCAGAGCCTCAATGCGTTGGGTCTGCTGTTCAAAGAGCTCCTGAAAGGCACCTTTCAAGCGAGTTTCCTGGTCCTTGACCTGCACAACTACATCACTCACAGTTGTTTCAAGGGCTGCAACACGGCCGGTGAGGGCGGAGCTAGCAGCCTCAACCTGAGAGGCAATCTGAGTACGAAGGTTGGCCTCAATCTGCTTGGACATAGCTTGCACATCGATGGGCGGGGCCTGGGCTTGCGGCAGCTTGGCAGAGCGAGCACCCAACGCCGCTGCCCAGGGGTCATTCGACTGCAAAGGGTCCGTAGAGCTCGTTGCTCTGTTGTTGATTGCCTGCAGGGCAGCCTTGGATGCAACGACCGTCGGGGCCGAAGGGGTCTTGCCCTCAACCTTGGATTTGACCTCCGAAATCAATACCTCGCCCTCCTGGATGTGGAGCACGGCTTGGGGCGGAGGCTTCAAAGCTTGAATGGCCCACCAAAGTCCATTGCCAGATGGCCGTGGGATAGGTTGAAGGGGCGTCGCCTCCCATCCCCAGTCCTGAAAGGCTTTGGTCAATGTTGACCGCTGTGTGCCAAAGGGCCACGGGCCCGCATGGAAAGTCAAGGCACCATCCTTGCACATAGCTGGGCGCAGAATTTTGTGAAGTGCCTCGGCCTTGGCTTTTTCGCAACGCACTCCAAAACGCCGGGCAACCCGCGCAACGCCAAGCACATCGGCGTGAGTTTGCTTGCACACCAAAGCCTCATGGAAGTCCGCCTTGGGCAACCAGAAAACGGAATACTCATCACGAGGCTCCTTTCCTCTGGGCTCAAAGTAGACCCCGGCATCACCAGAACAGGCCAACAGGACCGGTAGCAGGGCAACAGGAACCCTCAGAAAGGCATTGAACACCTCAGCCTCCTCGGGAGCACAAGGCTTAAACGAAGTGGTGACAAAGCCACGGCCCCACACCTCAAGAAGAGCCTCCGGGACTCCTGGGGAAGACGAGCCATGCCAGCATGAGCAACTGCATCCAACCTGGCTGCACGTCCGGATGCAAGAGCAAGCCTCAAGGACAGATCGCAATGGCTTCTGTGCAAAGACAGCCCAAGAGCCCTCCCACTGGTCACGGTAAACCGCCAAACGGAGGATAGCAGACGGGACAAGGTCCAAAGTCATGCGCTGGCCCGGTGCCACCTTTTGAACAAAACGGTCACCAATCTGCAACAAGGTAGCCGTCAAGAGCACTGGCTCCTGGGCAGGAGAGCAAGAGGCCTGGAACCTCACCACATCGGACTTCAAAGAAGTGCCTGACAGGTTCAGAGAGCCAAGGACCAACAACCCAAGGGCCTGCTTGGAAACCGGCTTGTCGATGCGGAGATAGGGGCCAGCAGCACTAGCCGACACAACAACAACTCCCTGAGCCTGTGGCCCGATCTCGGGAAGCTGGATCTGTGACAAAGCGATACCCTCCGACTCCGGGGAGGGGAGCTGCAACACAGGAGCCGTGGCCTGGGCCTTGGGAACCTTGCCCTTGGATTTACGCCGTGGACCAAGCTCCTCGCCATTGGCCAACTTGGTATCAATGAATCCCTGCAGTTCGGAGGGCAGCACCAACTGAAACGGCGGAGAAGCATTGGAGCACACCGCCTTCAACTCCCTCCACTGGTGAGGCGCCTGCAACGCCTTCTGTAGAGGGCCCCGGCCGACACGCTGAATGGCATCCTTGACCCTATCGGCTTCCGGAACCCCCTTTTCACGAAGAGCAGCCGACAACCCATGCTCAAGCAAAGGCGGGACGACCCCGGCGACCATGCATGGAGGAGGTACCTGCCCGGACTGCTGGGTCTCCTCCACAAAGGACTCTGCCCACAAGGATGCCCGGCCAAGAGCAGCAACAGCATCCAAAGGCGGCTCACCATCCAAGTGCACACTCAGATCTGCCATAGCAAAGTGCCCACAAAAGCCCGGAGCATGTGGCCGATGCGGGCCACCAAGAAACTTGAAAGCGGCAACCGACAACCCAAGGGCCTAGCTACCAACATGTTGGCCGTGGCAACAGCATCAACCAGCGGGCCCTTGTGCTCAGTCATAGGAAGGCTGGCCCAAGACGAAGCACCCCCACTGCCAAGCTGCCAGCAAAAGGAAACCCAGTGGCCTTCAACAGCCAGTGCACTCACCACGGCTCCACCTGAGAAGAAATCCACGAAAGCACTGCCGAGGCACGATGAGTTAGGCGTCTGGCAACACCGACCCAAATCAAGAGGATCAAGGACCCGCACAGGCCAAGGGGACCTGTCAGCAATGCAGGCTAAGGCATGGCTAGCCTGATCGGAGGCCATCCAATGCGCTTGCCATCGCAGTACAAGCAGGCGCTCAGCTGAAGAGATCAGATGCAAGGGCACCGAAGGCACTGAGAAGGGCGGTAGCCCCGACACAGAATCAGCTGGCCTGGGCCCAAAAGCAACAAGATGAACCTGCTGGCCGGGCATGACGAAATCCGAAAGGGCCAACACCTGCAAGTTCTCCTGGACAGCGAAAAGCAGGAACACCGCCTCCGAGAAGGAACCGGACTCAGGCGGTCGCACATCCTTGCAAGGGCCCTGCAAGGCAAGATCAAGCACCGACAGATGGCCTTCTGCTCCCACTGGAACGTGCCAAAAGGAAGCCGGGGCACATACCCGCGGCCGCTTCACCACCGGTGTGTCATCGAGCGGCATCACCTCATCACCCAGACGCAGAGAGCACTCCCTCGCAGCCAGAGAAGGCTCGACTGTGGAAAAACCCTGCTTAAGGGAACCTAGCGGCGGCCCACTAAACCCAAGAACCCCCAAAGAGGCACCAGCCGCACTATGGGTGGGCGAGGCACTCGGGGCCTCAGCTGGATGCGCAGAATTTGCAACCTTTGCCTGAGACCTGCCCTGCGAGAAGCACTTCCAGACCCGCCAGATTATGCCAAAGTGCCAAGTCTTAAGCACCCCCACTGCGTCACAGCTCCTTTCCTCCGCCAAGAAAGCAAGGGCTTGCTCGAGGGGCACACGACCCAGCTCTGGGGCCGTAAGCACACACCACCAATCGGACAAACCACCCTCCTGAGACAGCTGAATCTCGGCACAATGGAAACCTGTGGCAACCTGAAAGATAGCCAAACCCTCGCGGCACCACTGCTGAGCCTGCACTGGGCCAGTAAGCATAAGCGCGGGGCACTGTGCCAGATGGCAGGCCCTGAGATAGCATGCGAGGAGAGTCTTTGGCTCAACCGGGTCACACCCTTGCATGGTAACTTGGGCACAGGTTTCAGGGGAAACATCGACAACCACAAGCCCTGCCATCGGCGAAGTTTGCGCCAAATGTAGAGCAAGGGCTTTTGCTTTATTCACAGGCTGGCCTTGCAAGAACCCGACGCCACACATGGTGGACAAGCAAGCTTTAAGCACGATCTTGGGGACCACTTCACTCATGTCACTTGCATCCGGCGGGAAAGTGGGAAGCCAAGCTGTAGAACCAATCATTCGGATCAACTGCAAGTCACGAGCCTGCCTCGGCACCAATGAAAACTTCTTAGAATTCGCCAGAAGAGACACCGCGGGCCCCGAACGGAAGCTCAATCCCGCACCAGCCAAGAAGACAAGGCCTCGGCCACGTCGAAGATCCTCATCCTCCAAAGAGACTGGGCAGCCCGAAGGCAGGGCAACCCCAGCCCCGTCCTTGATAGACAGAACCAGAGAGCCAACCTCCTGCTGCATCACCCAGATCGGTTCCAAGCAGACCATGAACCCTGAAAAGACAAAGAACCCGAGACTTAGCTCGCTCCGCCTAGCCGCTGGAAGGCGCTCGGGCCGAAAGGCTAAACCCTAAACCCTAAACCCTAAAACCCAGGATCAGGGTGTGCAGATCCCAGAGATTTTCTACGAGGAGACGACGGAAGGCGGCTGTGTCCTGCTTCTTTGTCATAGTTGGGTAACATTTTACATTTTTATGGGTACTTAAACACAATAAGGAATAGAAATTTAAATTTGTAATCCTATCCCAACCATGAACTAGGCTTATGGAAGACCTCATTGCCAAGTCTTTCCACAGGGAGCCGGTGCCTGGGGTCTTTTGATCATGGTGCTTAGTCTTGAAGCTTTGATGTTCTCCTCGGAAGGAAAAGTACAGTGTCTAGACTATAAGCCTTAGATCCTAATACTCACACCGTGGCCCTAAGCCGCGTACCCCAGACCCTGGCCCTGACCAAATCCCCTTACCGGAGAACAACCAAAACCACATAATGTAGGGGCGTAGATCATTCAGAATGTTACTCCATGGGGTTCCTGATTACGACTATAGTGCCAGACACCCAAAAACCCCACTCAAAATTTTTTGTCCCATATACGAACTCTCCTTTAACAGCCCAGGTGCTCGAAACGGAGGAGCTGGCTTCTGTTTTGGTAGGTCTGGCAAGGCTGCACGGATGCAGCTACGAGAGCCCTGGAAACTGACTTAGCAGTTTTCTAAGTCTCAATAGGTCTTTATAGGGCTTTGGGGTTCAGGGCTTCATAACTTGAGTGGGATAGTAGAGGTTTACTGTAAACAACATGTGCTTCTCATGGTAACTTGTTCTCATCCATCTTACTATCAGTAATACCAGTGACATCATTATTACTGACGGGATGTTTGATTTAAATACCCTGCTCATTATTGAATAACTCTTATGGTAAGTTAGGTTAAATTCCCGAAAACGAGAACACCAGGAGCGAGCCCCTGCTGAGCGCCGTTGCCGCCCTCCCCGAGGTGGCGCAGCTTTGACTTCGGAATTCTCCTGTTTAAAGCTCCTCTGGAGTTTTGTAGACCCTGTGGGAGAGTTTCGCTTGTGGTTTGAAGAGTTTTGGGGCAGCCGTCAGGTACCAGACACGCAGCCCAGCGCCAAGCAGGCGGGTGAGCTTTGGAACAAGTTCCTGAGCTCCGTCCCCGGGGTGCGGGAGTCGGATTCCCTGGCGGTGGTGCAAGACTTCGGCACGCGCCTCGCTGCCCTGAGCGAGAAGGCCCAAGGGAGTTCCAGGAAGTGCATCGTCCACGGTGACTTTGTCATAGTTGGGTAACATTTTACATTTTTATGGGTACTTAAACCCACTGATAAGGAATAAAAATGTAGATTCTTAATCCTATCCCAACACTGATCAAGGTGACTTCCGCTCCGAGAACATTTTCCTCGACAGCAAAGGGGAGGCCTTGTTCATCGACTTTAAGCATGCCTCGATCGGCTGCCCAACATCGGACGCTGGGCTGTTGTGAAGGAACTTACTCGAAGCTACCAGTGATATCACTACCAGCACGAGCATAGTTATTAGTTATTGTGATAACCTAACTACTTCTGGTTTAGTTGAGTAGCACATGGTATGTGACGGGTATGTGACGAGTTCTTATGGCAGCTGAACTTCACAACCCCAACAAGAGCCCAGGATGTTGCGTGCCTACTCTTCAGCTCGGCCTTCCTCGAGGACCTCTCGCAAGGAAAGCTCCTCGAACTCCTCGGTTCCTACTGGGAGACCTTCTCTAAGACCTCGAAGACGTCGAGTTTCACGGAGGAGCCTCGGCGCTTCAGGAAGCGAAGGCTTGAGTAGATAGCTCTTCACAGTACGTCTAGCTTCTTGGTGTGTGCAGTCCTACCCTATACACCCCCCCCCCCACTTACAAGGTTAATTAATCTTTTCTGGTGCTACTCCTCCGCAGCGGCTGTAGCAACTTCGCCCACACTCGCACCCTCGATTGGTTTCCAGGTGCGTGTCGGGGGCTTCTGGTTCAGGGGTTGCGGTAATATAGGGGCCTAACAATAGTTACCAATACTATCTTGGGGGTTCCTTATTACAACTATAGTATAATTTATAATGGGCCCCAAAAAGCTATCCTAATTGTTACGGCCCCTATATTATTGGCTTTAGAAGTTTGGGACTTGGGCCCATTTTTGAGTTTCAGGGCTTCAGATCTTTCATCGGGGTCAGACAGTTCCCCAAGAAATCTAAACCCTCAACCCTAAACCTGAAAACCTTAGACTCTAAACCCTAAACCCTTAGACTCCAAGCCCTCAAACTCGAAACCTTTAAACCCTCCACCCTATTCAGGAACAGTTCCGCCGCGAGTTCAAGCTAAGCTGCTTGGACTTCGCGCGGAGGGTTCCGCCGCGAAGCCGCTCGCCTGTCCAGGGGAGGGCATGTTGTTTTGATTGTTCTACTTGAGTCCGAAAACCCTGTTCTAATTCATTACTAAGCGGAAGGAACTCAGGGTTGGCTATGTAGGTACAACTACTGTTGCTGCCACTGCCTGTCGTGCTCGCGCTCTTCGGCATTCCCTGCATGGTACGGGTGATGATGGTCCCTAAACCCCACACCCTAAAGCCAGCAAAACGCTTGTTTCTTCACTTCAGCCTCCGCCCCCCCCTAAGAGCCGCAGACACTTTTTTAGTCTTTGTGTCCCCAGACGGGATGGTGATGGGGATGAGGATGGGGATGATGGTGGCCATGGAAGGCACGTGGTGAAGAAAGCCACGAAACATCCTCCCACCAGTGAAGTCCAGAGGCCCTACCCCAAACCCGAAACCTCCAACCCTAAACCCCAAACCCTATACTAAACTTACTAAACTATAAGCCTCAACCCTATAAGACCCTATACTAAACTATAACTCTAGACTCTATACAAAGCTATAAGCCTAAACCCTTGAAAACCCTAGGAAAGCCGAGGTGTACAGATGGATGAAGTCCCGCGACAGCTTCTCGTGGCTCAGTTCCTCGAGTCCCTTTTAAAAGAGCTGCATGACTCTCGGCCCGGACAAAGGTTTAGGGTTTAGGGTTTAGGGTTCAGGGGTTTAGGGTTTAGGGTTTAGGGTTTAGGGTTTAGGGTTCATGACTCTCGGCCCGGACATCTGACCTTTGCTTAGAAAGGGGCCTTATAAAGGGGGTCTATAAGGGTTACTATAAGGGATCTATAAGGGTACTATAAGGGGTTAGTAGGGAATGGGAGAATGGCAGTAATAGTAGTTATAATTGTACCCCATTCCTCCATTCCCTACTAACCAAAGGTAAGACATTGGATGCAGTGCTCATGGGCCTAGAACCAGGCAGGATGAAGCTGTATTTGGGGTTTACGGGCCGCAGGCTTCCGTGCAGATCCACGGTTTGCAGCGTTTAGGGTGCCTCTACATCTACGTACCGTCCTCGCCGTGACCCTGTCTTGATCATCATCATGGCCACCATTACCAGCACGCCGCACTCAGCCCCCCACCAGAAGCACCAGTCTCCGTCGCCATCACAATCGCCATCACCCTAGTCACCAACAGCAACAGCAACATCCTGATCTTCGCTATGAAATCACAGCGCTCCTCTGCCTCGTTCCTCCTTTTCTTCGTCTTCCTCATGACCATAATGGTCAGTGCCACTGTCATCATCCGGGACGTTGTGTCCCAGCGGTTGCTGTGATCGTAGCAAAGCCTCAACTCTGAACCTCATCCCGGATCGCGAACTGAAAAGCACAAAGTCCCAACCCTGTCTGCCCAGACCCCCGGGAGGATCTAGAAAGTAGATCCCCTAATTTGGGGTCCTATACTACTAAGGGTACTGTCTATGAACCCCCATTAAGGGATCTATTTTTTGGATCCTCCTCGGGGTCTGGGAAGCCCTAGACGGCAACCAGGATTCGGGCGATGTGAGCGGAAGTAGAAAGTCCATGCCAGGTTTTCATGCTGTGGTGGACTGATGCCTTCTGCCAAGAGGGAGGAAAAGATGGCAGGGTGAAAGGGGATTGATACACTATGTAATGTACATATATATATATACACACACTTTACAGTTTCTATATTGTATATCAGGTTCTATTGTATCTATTTATTAGACCATATTACAAATACACAAAACCAGCACATCATGTTCGCTGTGAGGCAGATCAGCGGTTAGTTGATCAGAAGTAGTCTTCTCCCCCGATTCATGAAACCACCCTGTAGCATCTGCTCGTAAACTAACACGCCCATTGTGGAAAGCTGAAGCCCGAAACCCCTAAACCCTGAACCCAAACCCTGAACCCCAAGCTTTGCTGCTTCTTAGTGACTGCAAGCCTCAAGCAAGTCCTCGCAATCCTGCAGTCTGGGCCCCGGCCGAGGGTTTTAAGGCTTACCTTAAGCCTTAAGCTGCCATAACCCGCTTTTTGTAGGCTCTCGTTATAAACCCTAATTTAGACTTGGTAGCGATATGAAGGGACCCTAAGAAAAGTGATTTCCAAGGTAGGGTATAGGGTGAAAGTAGAGATTGAGACATATACAAGCCTAACCCCAAGACACAACAAGCGAACACCCCAAAGCCAACTACAACACCAGAAACAACAAACACGCCAAAAAACGCACCAAAGCCCTAAACCCCAAAACCAAACACTCAAAAGATCGTTGGGCTATGCGCACAGGATGGAAAGAAGCTGCCAGACCTAGAGAAGGCTTTAGGGCTTTCGAAAAAGTGTGTTTGAGGGTTGAGGAGTTTGGGAGTTTAGGGACTTGAGGGGTTAGGGTCTACGGCTTAAGGGTTTAGAGCTTAGGTTTAGGGCCGTTCAGGGTTGATGCGGGCTTGGGACGAGCTCTTCCCCCAAGAACACACGTCTTCATACGTCGGAAATAGTCACTTGAATATCCGGTAAACCATGATGCGGGGGCCGATACAGCGTAAGGATTTCCAGGTATATTCAAAGTATGTATATATATATATATATGTATACATAATCATATATATATATATATATATATATATATATATATACACACACATACACATACATGCACTAATTCGCTGCCCTATGTAAGGAAGAGTTCTTCACGAATTTTTGGGGTTTCTGATTGTGGTATAGGCTCTTGGACCAGGTCTGTGCCGCTTGATGTGGTGACCGAGCGTGTTTGTGCGGGGCATTCCGGGGCTTTGGAGGTGGAGCTTCAAGGTGTATCGAAAAAAGGCTTGATAGTATATACGTAGCGACACTGGATATGTAAAGAGCCGGTAGTCGGATAAGTAGATAGCTGCTTGTACATAGTTGGCGAAGCAGTTAGATGAATGAATAAACATATGAGTGCTGAAGTGAAGCTAATCAGACGCAAGAAGGGACATGATTAGAGAAGTAAGGCAGTGTATATACTGTTACAAGTTAGCAAAAGTATGAGATCGATGAGTCAATACATAAGACTCGTGCATCTTATCTTCAGCGGTTGTTGGAACCCTATTCTAGTCATTAAGGCCCCTATACCCTACACCCTAAACCCCTACACCCTGAACCCTAAACCCTACAACCCTGAACCCTCGAACCGTAAACCCTAAACCCCTAGAGCCCTAGAGCCCTAAACCCTACACCCCTAAACCCTAGAACCCTATACCCTAGAACCCTAAACCCTAAACCCTAAGCCCCTGGAACCCTAGAACCCTAAACCCTAGAACCCTAAACCGTTATAGAACCCTAAACCCTAAACCCTAATAGCTATTAGGCCCCCTACATTAAACTCGCTCCAGGCCCTTAAGGGACCCTGCAAGAACCCTTAAAGAACCCCAACAGGAACCCTTAAAGGAACCCTCAAAGGACCCTTCAAAACGACCCTTTAAAGGAGCCTTTAAAAGGAGCCCTTTAGACCCCTACACCCCTAAACCCCTAAACAATGAACCCGAAACCCGAAACCCTAAGTCCTAAACCCAAAGCCCTTTAGACCCACTCCAGGCCGGCTTGGACCCACATCGTCCGAGCAGGGACCGCCCCGCGACGCCCTTGGAGCGTCCGGAGGCGCTGCCGCAGGAGGCGGGGAGAGGGGTTCGATTCTTTTTTCGGGTTTTTAGGGTTTGAAGGGTTTCAGGATTTCTGCGGTTTAGGGTTTACGGTTTCCAGGGTTCAGGGGTTTAGGGATAGGGGTTTAGGCTTTACGGTTTCTAGGGTTTCTAGGGTTTCGGGTGTTGGGTGTTGTGGTTTTAGGGGATTTCAGGGTTTTTTCGGTGTTTAACTCGGGATTTTACGCGGTTTTGAGGGGTTTACGGTTTGGGGTGTGTTTTGTTGGGTTTGGGGTTTCGGAGTTTTGGGTTTTGTTGGGGTCTTGAGTTTTTTGGGAGATTTGGGGTAGCGTGGGGTGTAGGGGTTTTGGGATACGTCGGGTTTTCGGGCTTGGCAAGTAAGCATGGGAGTGTCAGAAAATGAAGGATCCCGCGTGGAGCCCTGAAAAACCCTAAGCCCTAAACCCTTAAACCCTAGCCCCTAAACCTTACACCCTAAACACTTAAACCCTAAAACCCTAAACCCCAAAACCCTAAACCCTGAACCCTAGACCTTAAAACACTAGGGTTCCCTTCTATGAGGGGCCCTCATTATCTGAACTCCTCAGGTGCCGAGACCGGAGAGCGCCGAGGGTCGCTGGGATGCATTTCTTTGTCGTTGTTTAGGGTTTTTGGGGTTCAGGGTTTAGGGTTTAGGGATCGGGGCTTAGGGTTTTGGGGTTTAGGGTTTAGGGCTCAGGGCTTACGGTTTAGGATTTTGGGGTTGAGTGTTTAGGGTTGTGTGCGTGTGTGTTCGTGGCCTTGGGGGGAGAGTTTAGGAGGGTTAAGCCGCGTTTCGAAGCTGTATGAGGCTCACAGAGACCCCTGCATGGACGTTAGAAGGCTTGTGTATGGTCTTGCGGCGTTCACGGTTTGGGTTGCTCTGTATTTTGCAGAAGCTAGGTTTCAAAACGGACCGAAGGATCAAGATCTAGGCCCTAGATGGTAATTTTAACATATCTTGTGAGCTTACTGTTGATCTTTATCTTGCTCTGTGGATAGTCCGAAACTCCATGTTTCTGAAGGCCAGCCCCTGTGCTGCTTGCTGAAAGCACCGGCCGTCCCTTTCAGAGATGGGCTTCGAGCTTGTGACCGAACCCCTAAGCTCAACACCCTTAAGGGCTGCCTTCGTCCCACCTGCACCTGGTTTCGGGCTTCTGAAATTCTCAGACCCCTAAATCCTTGACCTCTAAGCCCGGAGCCCTGGACACGAAAGCCCGAACCGTATTCTCAAGAGTAAAGTTAGGGACCCTGCAGAAACGAAGGTTTGGATAGTTCAAGGTATAGAACCCCAAGGCCTGCACTGCCCAGGTATGCTCGAACTCCCCGGAAGTCCTCCTCCGGACATTGAGGCTGGCGAGGAGATGGGTCCTCCTGCCCAGTGCGTCATCGAACTGGGGGGGGAAGCTGGGCGTTTTTGATCGAACATTGCTTTACTGTGCTCTCCCCAATAAGCCGAAACCTGAGGTCTTGGAATGTTGGGTTGTGTTTAAGAAGGAATTACGATGGCCTCCATGAGCAGCTCAGGAAGAGAAGAGCGCAGCAAGGGCAGCAGGAGGAGGAAGGGGAGGAAGCTGGCGCTGGATTCAGTTCGGTTCAGGCTTCGCGCCGCAGTGGTTCGAGGAGGACCAGCCGATGGTCATCGAAGAGGAGATCTCTGAGGTGCCTCGGCCTAGGCAGGAATCCGTGCCCTCTGACGACCAACTCGCCCGCGAGACCGTCCTCTCGGTCCTCGAAAGAGCGGCTGAGAGAGCGGAGAAGAAGGAAGAGGTGGTGAGACAGCGCCGGGAGAAGGCACAGCTGCTTCGCCGGCAGAAGTCGGAGCTCTTGGCAAGGGACAAGGCTCTGGCGCTGGCCGAAGCGGTTCAGCAAGAGGAGGTCGAGAGGCTTCGGAAGGAAGCCGAGCGAGCAAAGGAGAAGGCCTTGGCAGAAGAGGCTGAGAGACAAGCGGAGGTTGAGCGGCTGTGCAAGGAGGAGGCGCAGAGAATGGCTCAAACTAAAATCCCAAACCCTATATAACCCCTAAACCCCAACCCACCCAAAACCCAAACCTAAAATCCAACCCCAAACCCGAAACACTAAACCCATGAACCCCCTAAGCCCTATCAGCCCAAAGCCCAAAGCTCTCCTCCGGACATCGAGGCCGGCCAGGGCGACGTCGGAGGAGAGATCGTGGCACCTCCCGAGTGCATCTTCGCAGTCGGGGAAACCGGGCATTCTCTTAGATAGTGAACGGGGGAACGTTAAACGGTTTGGCCTTATATATATATATATATATATATATATATATATATATATATATATTAGCTCTATCTTGGAAAGTTAGATTTTTTTGGGGCCCGGTTGTTGAAGAAGAGAGTTCTTGCCACTCAAGTCTTTGAAGTTTAGGGTATAGGGCTCAGGGGTTTAGGATTTTAGGTACGGTGTGTTAGAAGATTGAGGGACAACACGGCCAATCCTAACGTCTCCTATCGGTACAGTGATTTATTCATTGTATAAACTTTGTACCTTGACGTTCCGAGCTGTTGTGGGGGATTTGGGTGTGACTTTCTTCTACGCCAGGATGGACCCCAAGCACAGTCGAAGCCCTACATTTCCCACAACGATGCCAGGAGCAGCGTGTCCCGAAATGTGTTCGGTACCGCGGTGGGGGCACAGCTGTGATTTCGAGACCACACGAACTACCGAGGAGTCACGTAGTGACGTAGTATTAATAGTGTTGCAGTGCTGGGACTTTAGCGACTTCGAAATTCTGGAGCAGAGTGATGGCGAGAGCACGATTTCTACCCAAAGCGCCCAAAACACAGGTCACGCGCGAGCAGGACTGCGATTCATCAAGCTCGGGAGAGCCAGAGCTTGGATTTGCTCTCTTACACCGGAGGAAAGGGGCCCAAAACTTACCTTTCGTGAGTAGGGAATGGAAGAATGGTGGTAACAGTAGTTCTCATTGTACCCCATCCCTCCATTCCCTACTAACCAAAGGCAAGAAAAGGGATGGTTGAAGGAAGGGGGTGGCGGTCGAGAATCTTCACGCGCTGGGTGCCCGGACCCCTTCACGCGAAGGGCCCGAAAACCTCATAGTCGTAGCGTTACCATCTACCCCAGACTACCATAACCTACTTTTTTGTAAGTTCGCAGAGTAAATCGTGTCAAAAAAATTGTAGGGGCCTGGCAAAAACGCAGGTTTTCGAAGGTAGTTACCGCAGGATTCAGGAAGCCGGAATCGCGAGCCTTCAGAAGCAGCCAAGGAAGAGAAGGGCGGCGAAGCAGGAGGCGGCGGAGCAGGGGGGCAGGAGACAGCCTTGGCGAAAGAAGCCGCGATGCAAGCAGAGGCCGAGCGGCTTTTCAAAGAGGAGGAAGCGAGAGTGGCGAAAGAGGCAGCTTTCGCAGAGGAGGCTGCAAGGCAAGCAGAGGCCGAGCGGCTGCGCAAGGAGGAGGAAGAGAGAGTGGCAAAGGAGACAGCTTTGGCAGAGGAGGCTGCAAGGCAAGCCGAGGCCGAGCGGCTGCGCAAGGCGGAGGAAGCGAGACTGGCAAAGGAGAAGGCGTTGGCCGAAGAGGCCGCGAGGCAAGCAGAGGCCGAGCGGCTGCGCAATGAGGAGGAAGAGAGAGTGGCAAAGGAGACAGCTTTGGCAGAGGAGGCCACGCGGCAAGCAGAGGCCGAGCGGCTGCGCAAGGCGGAGGAAGAGAGAGTGGCAAAGGAGAAGGCGTTGGCCGAAGAGGCCGCGAAGCAAGCAGAGGCCGAGCGGATGGCAGCAGAGCGTGCTGCCGCGAAAGAGGCCGCGCAAGCAGCCACTCAGCATATTCTACAATTGGCATCAGCAAATGCTCGTGCACATCTCCTAGCTGAAGCGGCCCGAGCCGCAGAAGCCGCACGCCGTGAGGAGGAGCAGAGAAGGGCAGCCGAGCGCAACTTGGCAAGAGAAGCTGCACATAGCTCTTGCAGCCAAGTCGTGGAAGTCGCCAGACAGGCAGCAGACAAGCGCTTGCAGACCGAGGCGGAAGCATCTCGCCAGCGCGAGGCTGAACGCTTGGCCAGAGAAGAAGCTTTGGCAGCAGAAGCAGCACGCAAAGCAGAAGCCGAGAGGCATGCAGCCGAGCGCGCTGTGGCCGCGGAAGCATCGCAGATTGCTTGTGAGCGAATCCTGGATGTGAGTCTGTCCAATGCCTCTGCGCATCTGCGTGCAGAAGCCGCGGCAGCTGCGGAGGTTGCACGGCAAGTGGAGGAAGAGAGAGTGGCGAAGGAGGCAGCTTTGGCAGAGGAGGCTGCAAGGCAAGCAGAGGCCGAGCGGCTGCGCAAGGAGGAGGAAGAGAGAGTGGCAAAGGAGACAGCTTTGGCAGAGGAGGCCACGAGGCAAGCAGAGGCCGAGCGGCTGCGCAAGGCGGAGGAAGAGAGAGTGGCAAAGGAGAAGGCGTTGGCCGAAGGGGCCGCGAAGCAAGCAGAGGCCGAGCGGATGGCAGCAGAGCGTGCTGCCGCGAAAGAGGCCGCGCAAGCAGCCACTCAGCATATTCTACAATTGGCATCAGCAAATGCTCGTGCACATCTCCTAGCTGAAGCGGCCCGCACCGCAGAAGCCGCACGCCGTGAGGAGGAGCAGAGAAGGGCAGCCGAGCGCAACTTGGCAAGAGAAGCTGCACATAGCTCTTGCAGCCAAGTCGTGGAAGTCGCCAGACAGGCAGCAGACAAGCGCTTGCAGACCGAGGCGGAAGCATCTCGCCAGCGCGAGGCTGAACGCTTGGCCAGAGAAGCAGCTTTGGCAGCAGAAGCAGCACGCAAAGCAGAAGCCGAGAGGCATGCAGCCGAGCGCGCTATGGCCGCTGAAGCATCGCGCATTGCTTGTGAGCGGATCCTGGATGTGAGTCTGTCCAATGCCTCTGTGCATCTGCGAGCGGAAGCCGCGGCAGCTGCGGAGGTTGCACGGCAAGCGGAGGAAGAGAGAGTGGCGAAGGAGGCAGCTTTGGCAGAGGAGGCTGCAAGGCAAGCAGAGGCCGAGCGGCTGCGCAAGGAGGAGGAGGCAGAGAGAGTGGCAAAGGAGACAGCTTTGGCAGAGGAGGCCACGCGGCAAGCAGAGGCCGAGCGGCTGCGCAGGGCGGATGAAGAGAGGCTGGCAAAGGAGAAGGCGTTGGCCGAAGGGGCCGCGAGGCAAGCAGAGGCCGAGCGGATGGCAGCAGAGTGTGCTGCCGCGAAAGAGGCCGCGCAAGCAGCCACTCAGCACATTCTACATTTGGCATCAGCAAATGCTCGTGCACATCTCCAAGCTGATGCGGCCCGAGCCGCAGAAGCCGCACGCCGCGAGGAGGAGCAGAGAAGGGAAGCCGAGCGCAACTTGGCAAGAGAAGCTGCTAATAGCTCTTGCAGCCAAGTCGTGGAAGTCGCCAGACAGGCAGCAGACAAGCGCTTGCAGACCGAGGCGGAAGCATCTCGCCAGCGCGAGGCTGAACGCTTGGCCAGAGAAGCAGCTTTGGCAGCAGAAGCAGCACGCAAAGCAGAAGCCGAGAGGCATGCAGCCGAGCGCGCTATGGCCGCTGAAGCATCGCGCATTGCTTGTGAGCGGATCCTGGATGTGAGTCTGTCCAATGCCTCTGTGCATCTGCGAGCGGAAGCCGCGGCAGCTGCGGAGGTTGCACGGCAAGTGGAGGAAGAGAGAGTGGCAGAGGAGAAGGCTTTGGCCGAAGAGGCTGCGAAGCAAGCAGTGGCCGAGCGGCTGCGCAAGGAGGAGGAAGACAGAGTTGCACAGGAGAAAGCTTTGGCAGAGGAGGCCGCGAGGCAAGCAGAGGCCTTGCGGCTGCGCAAGGAGGAAGAGAGAGTGGCACGCGAAAAAGCTGAGGCGGCGAGGCAAGCAGAGGCCCAGCAGCTGCAAGAGACGGTGTTGTACGAGGTCGCGAAAGCAGCTGCAGCCGAACTCTTCGAAGTCACCACTAAGAGATCGAAGGAAGCAGCACAACAAGCGGCGAGAGAAGCAGAAGAAGCTGCAAGACAGAAGGCCAATCGTCTTCGCGAAGAGGAAGAAAAGAGAGCAGCCTGCGAGAAAGCTGAGGCTGCAAGGCAAGCAGAGGCCGAGCGGCTGCGAAAAGAGGAGGAAGACAGAGTGGCGAAGGAGACAGCTTTGGCAGAGGAGGCTGCAAGGCAAGCAGAGGCCGAGCGGCTGCGAAAGCAGGAGGAAGATAGAGTGGCGAAGGAGACAGCTTTGGCAGAGGAGGCTGCAAGGCAAGCAGAGGCCGAGCGGCTGCGCAAGCAGGAGGAAGAGAGAGTGGCAAAGGAGACAGCTTTGGCAGAGGAGACTGCAAGGCAAGTGGAGGCCGAGCGGCTGCGCAAGGAGGAGGAAGAGAGAGTGGCAAAGGAGACAGCTTTGGCGCAGGAGGCCACGAGGCAAGCAGAGGCCGAGCGGCTGCACAAGGCGGAGGAAGAGAGGCTGGCAAAGGAGAAGGCGTTGGCCGAAGAGGCCGCGAGGCAAGCAGAGGCCGAGCGGATGGCAGCAGAGCGTGCTGCCGCGAAAGAGGCCGCGCAAGCAGCCACTCAGCACATTCTACATTTGGCATCAGCAAATGCTCGTGCACATCTCCAAGCTGATGCGGCCCGAGCCGCAGAAGCCGCACGCCGTGAGGAGGAGCAGAGAAGGGAAGCCGAGCGCAACTTGGCAAGAGAAGCTGCTAATAGCTCTTGCAGCCAAGTCGTGGAAGTCGCCAGACAGGCAGCAGACAAGCGCTTGCAGACCGAGGCGGAAGCATCTCGCCAGCGCGAGGCTGAACGCTTGGCCAGAGAAGCAGCTTTGGCAGCAGAAGCAGCACGTAAAGCAGAAGCCGAGAGGCATGCAGCCGAGCGCGCTGTGGCCGCTGAAGCATCGCACATTGCTTGTGAGCGGATCCTGGATGTGAGTCTGTCCAATGCCTCTGTGCATCTGCGAGCGGAAGCCGCGGCAGCTGCGGACGTTGCACGGCAAGTGGAGGAAGAGAGAGTGGCAGAGAAGAAGGCTTTGGCCGAAGAGGCCGCGAAGCAAGCAGAGGCCGAGCGTCTTCACTGTGAGTTTGGCCTTGTAAACTCGTGTATTGGGGCTGATCGCATTCTCATTTCCACGAGGAGTTTTGAATTCCTTTTGCGATTTCCTGCTGCTCCTACTGCATGCTACTGCCAAGCTGCTACTGCTTCTGCGATGGCTGCTGCTACTCCCTGCTACTAGCACCACAGCCGCCGCCGTGTCCACCACCACCGCCGTCGTCGCGTCATCTACTACATCTACTACTACTCATCCTCCTGCTGCTGCAACCACCACCACCACTACGACGATGACGACGACTACTACCACCACTGCTCAGCCACTGCCACGTCTACGACTGCGGCTGCTGCTGCTGCTGCTGCTGCTACTGCGACTGCCACTTCTGCTGCTGCTGCCACTGATATTACTATTGCTATTGCTACGGCTGCTGCTGCTGCTGCTGCTACTGCTACTCCTACTAAGACTGTTACTAAGCTTGAACCCAAGATGAAGATGAAGACCTAAGACTACAGACTAGAGACTAAAGGCTGCAGACTAAAGACTAAAGACCAATGGCCAAAGACTGATGATAAATGGGTGGTTGTCAAAATTAGGGTCCCTTTTTGGGTCCCTATTCTATTACGGCACCTCATATTTAGGGTACCCCAAAAGGGGCCCTAATGTTGACAACCACCCAAATGGCTGATGACTCTGGGCTCAGACCAAGACTCATGCGAAGACCAAGATCCGGGCTGAGGCCAAGACACGGTTTAGGGTTTAGAGTTTAAGGAGTTGAGGGTTTAGGGTTTAGAGTTTAAGGAGTTAGGGTTTAGGGTTTAGAGTTTAAGAAGTTGAGGGTTTAGGCCTTAGAGTTTAAGGAGTTAGGGTTTAGGTTTAGAGTTTAAGAAGTTGAGGGTTTAGGGTTTAGAGTTTAAGGAGTTAGGGTTTAGGGTTTAGAGTTTAAGAAGTTGAGGGTTTAGGGTTTAGAGTTTAAGGAGTTGAGGGTTTAGGGTTTAGAGCTTAAGGAGTTGAGGGTTTAGGGTTTCTGCGGATGCTGATACCAATGCAAGTACCAACACGAAGACTGAATGATACAAGTACTGGTACCCATACTGACACTAGTATTGATGCAGGAAGACTAAAAGTACTACTGCCGATGCTGATACATTGATACTTGTACCAACACGAATGCGAAGGTCAATAGTCATACCAATACTAATACCATTAGCAAAACCAATACCACTACCAAGACTAAGACAAGGACTCATGTTGCTCCTACTCTTCCTCCTGCTCCTACTACTTGTCCTGCGGTTGCACCTACTTTTGTTACTGCTGCAGCTACTATTGCCACTGAAGACGACGACTACGAGTGCGACTGCGACTGCGACTAATGCTACTGCTACTGCTGCTGCTACTGCTACCGCTTCCGCTTCCGCTACCGCTGCTGCTACCGCTGCCACTACCGCCATACCGCTCCTGCTACCGCTGCTGCTCTTGCTGTTCCTCTGTTACTACTACTGCTACTACTGCTGCGACTGGGACTGGGACTGCGCCTGCTGGTACTACTGCTACTACTGCTACTACTGCTACTACTGCTACTACTGCTGCTACTGTTGCTACTGTTACTACTGCGACGGCAACTGCTACCGCTCCCGCTCCAGCTACTGCTACTGCTACTGCTGCTGCTACTGCTACCTCTACTGCTACTGCTACCGCTACTGCTGCTACTACTTCTACTGCTGCTACTACTGCTACCACTGCTACTACTGCTACTACTGCTACTACTCTTGCTACTGCTACCGCTACCTCTGCTACTACTGTTGCTGCTGCTACTGCTACTACTGCTGCTGCTACTGCTACTGCCACTGCTACTGCTACTGCTACTGCTACTGCTACTGCTTCTGCTTCTGCTTCTGCTACTGCTGCAACACTGCAACTGCTGCTACCACTAGCATGACCACTACCACTACCAGTGCCACTACCAAACTCCTGCTCCTTCTCCGACTACCAGTACTGCTACTACAGCTACCACTGCTACTACTACTACTACTGCTGCTACTGCTACGACTGCTACCGCTACACTCCTCCAAAACAACGACGACGATTGCAGGAGCTGCTAGAACTATATAACTGCTGCGGTTACGGCGACAACTACATGTCCCGCAATTACAACGACTGCGAAGGTCTTGGCAGAAGAGGCTGCGCGGCGAGCAGAGGCCGAGAGGCTGCGCAAGGAGGAGGAAGAGAGAGTGGCAAAGGAGACAGCTTTGGCAGAGGAGGCCACGCGGCAAGCAGAGGCCGCTTTGGCAGAGGAGGCCACGAGGCAAGCAGAGGCCGAACGCCTGGCAGCAGAGCGTGCTGTCGCGAAAGAGGCCGCGCAGGCAGCCACTCAGCACATTCTACAATTGGCATCAGCAAATGCTCGTGCACATCTGCAAGCTGATGCGGCTCGTGCCGCAGAAGCCGCACGCCGTGAGGAGGAGCAGAGAAGCGCTGCCGAGCACGACCTGGCAAGAGAAGCTGCACATAGCTCTTGCAGCCAAGTCGTGGAAGTCGCCAGACAGGCAGCCGACAAGCGCTTGCAGACCGAGGCGGAAGCGTCTCGCCAGCGCGAGGCTGAACGCTTGGCCAGAGAAGCAGCTTTGGCAGCAGAAGCAGCACGCAAAGCAGAAGCCGAGAGGCATGCAGCCGAGCGCGCTGTGGCCGCTGAAGCATCGCACATTGCTTGTGAGCGGATCCTGGATGTGAGTCTGTCCAATGCCTCTGTGCATCTGCGAGCAGAAGCCGCGGCAGCTGCAGAAGTTGAACGCCAAGTGGAGGAAGAGAGAGTGGCAAAGGAGAAGGCTTTGGCCGAAGAGGCCGCGAAGCAAGCAGAGGCCGAGCGGCTGCGCAAGGAGGAGGAAGACAGAGTTGCACAGGAGACAGCTTTGGCAGAGGAGGCCACGAGGCAAGCAGAGGCCGAGCGGCTGCGCAATGAGGAGGAAGCGAGAGTGGCAAAGGAGAAGGCCTTGGCAGAACAAGCTGCCCGTCAAAAGGAGGCCGCAAGGTTGCAGCACTAACCCTCCTGTTAGAAAGCCCATTGCACCGTAGATTTTTACGTGCATACATTTCTGTATGTTCTTCGTTAGTATGCAAGATATTCGTGTATACATGTAGGTGTATCTATCTATTTATCTATCTATATACATATATGTTAGAAAAAAATATATATATATATATGTATATATATAGTAATATACTGATATATATATATATATGTATGTATATATGTATCCCTTTGCATATGTAGGATACTGGGTACTCAGTTATCATGATTTATCATGCACGCCTCTACGAAGCGCCCTGCTACGCCGCCGAGGACGTTACGAGCCGTATCGGTCTGGCGAAGCAGGAGGAGCTGAAAGATCCAACCATTCCCGGCAGTTTAGGGGTTGAGGGTTTAGGGTTTAGAGGTTTGGGGTTTAAAGTTTAGGGTTTAGGGTTTATAGGTTTATCAGGGATCTAGAGTCGGGTTCTATGATGGATAGGGTTCCTTTCATTAGGGCTTATAAGGATTACTATAAGTAAATAATTGACAATACTATTGCGAGGGGGTGCTTATTATAGCTCTAGTATAGTGGGTCCACAAACCTTACTCTATTCTAAAAATTGAGGCCCCTATATTGAGGGGGTTCAGTTGTCTCGGGTTTAGGGCCAGTTGTTGGGAGGAGCTTAAGGATGCAAGCCTGGACACGACGGATTTGGCGGCCGATGAGGTGCCTAGGACTGCAATTCAAAGGGGTTGATTCGTTTCTGGACTCCTGAAGAATTGCCCATATTATTGCTTAGAGTCTCTTTTGAGTTCATGCTATGGTTATGATATAGTCGGAAGCACATATTCGAACTGTTACTGTGACCCGAGAAAATACGGTATTTGGGAAACCTTTGTAGCAACCTTTTGTAGTACCCCTAGTGAACCCTTACTTGGGAGTTTCCGAAAATAGGGGACTCTCATATAGTACCCTAACTTGTAGGATGCTTATTATAAGGACTCCAAAATAAGGTACCCCTAATTTTCGGAAACTCTAAACCCTAAAACCCTTATAGAACTTCTATGGATCCCTTTAAGGAGCCCTTATAGTAACCCTTTAAAGGAACCCTGAGGAACTCCTGATTTTCGGAAACCCCCACTTACTTAAAGGAGCGCTTGCATGCAAGGAGCCCTATGCTGGCCCCTACTTAAAGGATCATGGGACTTCGTAAGTAGGGTTATAAGTAGGTTATCATTAGGATAACCCCACTTAGGGGACTTATAACCCCAGTTATAACCTACTTACTAAGTCCCATGATCCTCTAAGTGTATGAAATCCCCAAGACGGGTTCCTTTAAAGGGTTACTATAAGGGTTCCTTAAAAGGGATCTATAGGAGTTCAATAAGGGTTTTAGGGTTTAGAGTTTCAGAAAATAGGGGGTACCACATTTTGGGGTCCTTATGATAAGCATCCTACTATTTAGGGTACTATATTAGGATCCCCTATTCGAAGACTCCCAAATCCCCACTACCTGAAACTCGCCAAACCCTGGACCTTGTAGCCTTGTTTTATGCGTCTGAAGTACCAGTTTTCGCAACGGTTTAGGGTGTAGGGTTTGAAGTACCAGTTTTCACACAGGTATTTCTGGTATAGACTTCCTCAAGACACCAGTCGAAGTCCCAAGCCCGAAACACTTGTCCCCCAAAACCCAAGCCCTGATCCCGAAATCCCGAACCCCCAACCCTGCACACTAACGCCCTAAGCCCTAAAGCCCTAAAGCCCTCAAGCCCCATAACAGATCCCTTCGAGGAGCCCTCGTAGATCCATTTGAAGGAACCCTCATAGACCCCTTACAGTAAAGGAGCTTACCCTAAACCCTCAACTCTAAACCCTGATGAACCCTAAACCCTAAACCCTGATCCCAAAACCCAAAACCCAAAACCCTAATCCCTAATCCCTAAACCCAAAACCCTAAACCCAAAATCCTAATCCCTAAACCCTAAACCCAAAACCCTAATCCCAAAACCCAAAACCCTAAACCCTAAACCCTAATCACAAAAAATCCTTGCAGCCGGTGAGGCTCTCCAAAAGGCGCCCTTGGACCTGACCCTCACAGGCGCGCCGTGGCAAAGGTGTCGTTATCGTTACTGCTTTTACCAGCACGATGATGAACATGAAGATGATGAGAAGTCTGTTCATCAGTTCCAGTAGTTCTGCCGTTCCTATCATCACTGTCATGATTATGGTGACTATCGTTGGCCCTTGTTGTGACGGCTGTAATGACCAGTGTGACTGTTATTGTACTGTTCTTGTTCGTATCTTTATCCATATTAATGTCGTTGCTACAATTACTGCGACTGTCATCGTTATTCTCTTCGTTGCATAGGAGGTTGTTACGGTTTATGCTTGGCTGGAGGACATTTAGAGGTACCCGAGGAATTTCACGGAAGTTTAGGGTGAACGGCTCAGGGAATCTCAGACTTAACGGCTTCATTAGGGTTTCGGGTTCAGGTAGGCATTACGTCATTACGTCTTAGGGCTTAGATCGTCTTTCAATGCAGATTTCGAAGGGTCCTGCTTCTGGGGTCCTTATGATCACTAGGACCTACTAGGACAGTTACATGGGAGTTTCCGAAAATTAGGGGTACCTTATTTCGGGGTCCTTATAATGAGGATCCTATCATGTAGAGCATTACACTAGGGTTCCCCATTTTTGGAAACTCCCATGTAAGTTGTGTTTTAAGCCAAGAGGCCATGTTTAGGCAATAGTTTCCAGAGGCTTTGAAGGGCCAACTTTTGAAGCATCTGAGAGTTTACTGTCTTTGACACTCCCCTAAACCCTAAACCCTAAACCCTAAACCAGATGAGTTTAGAGTCAAGGGCTCAGCCTTGAAGCCCGAACCCGAACCTTGCCACAGTTCGAAAGATCGGTCTAAGGTTTTCGGGTTTTTTTGGGGGGTTGTGGGGCTCGGGTAGGGCGCACAGAGACGTTCATCTTAATGAAGTCTCGGGATCCTTCATACTAGTTACGAGACCTTAAACCCCCCTAAACCCTAAACCCTAAACCCTAGACCCAGCGACGGCATGAAGGATGTCGGAGTCTTTTGGATCTATGCCTCCGTTTCCTAACGCAACAAAACCTATACCCTAACCTCGACAGTCTTAAACAAAAACCTCTTAAAAGCCCTAAAAGCTTCAGGGTTCAGGGTTGTGGGTTTAAAGGTTACATGCCCTAGAACTAAACGAGCCTCTGGCCCTCCACTTCAACATGAAAGTCCTAAATCCTACGCCCAGAGCCCAGAACCCTCACCCCTGTAATCCGAATCCCTGGCACCCTAAACCCTCAGACCCTAAACCCCCTAAACCCTGAATCCCTAAACCCTAATCCCTAAAGGCTAAACCCCTAAACCCCTAGACCCTAAACCCCTAAACCCTAAATCCCTAAACCCCTAAACCCTAAGCCCTTAACTCCCGAAACCCACAGGCCTCAGACGAAAGAGCCCTCAACCCCTAATCCTAACTCTTCACCCCCCTAGCCCGACAACCCTAAACCCCTGACCGGCACCAGCCCGAAACCCCTAAGCCCCATACCCTAAATCCTAAAATCTAAACTGCAGGCACCACGATGGACGCCACCTTGCCGGGGGTGCTAGAGCTCGATACGGCCGAAATCCGGGAGGTTCACATCGAGGGTAGCATTTCGTGGGATGTTTGGGGTTTAGGGAGGGTTTAGGGTTCCTGTACTGGCTATATAAGGGTTCCTAGAGCTTAGGGTTTAGGGTTTAGAGGTTTGGGGGGTTTAGGGTTTTGGGTTTAGGAGTTTAATAAAGGTTGAGGGCTTCAGGTTTGGGGCTTTAGAGTTTAGGAAGTTTAGAGGGTTGAGGGTTTAGGGCTTGGCCGACGATCCACGCGTATCAAAAAAGTCGCTTCCCAAAATCTCGAACCCAGAGGTTCAATAACGCTTAATCAGTGAATTCATTCATTCATTCTCTGCGGTTGAGTCGGTAAACGACGCTCGCCTAGCAAGATGAATTCAAGCTGCATTTAATTGAAAGTGGGGTGGTGCAGAAATCTATTGACATAGTATGCGCTCACCGGACAGGGGTGGGATGTAACCAGCAAAAGGAAAAGCTGTCCCAACCCCACAACAGAATCAAAGATGGCGCATGGATGAATGCCTGAGAATGCACGGCAAACAAAGGATGCTTTGTATTCCGTAATCGGCGATCAAAACATCAGACAACGTACGATCCACATATCGGACCCAAGACGTGCAGGATCTTCCTCATGGGTATCAGATGAGGCCATTCCGGAAAGGGTAATCAGTGAAGTAATATAGCATAGTAACTCTGCACGTCCAAGCTTCGTCGAATTTCTCCGCGCATTCATGCGCGCGTGACCGCATGTGTTACCGTAGTTTGCGAAACTCGGCGGACGCCTCTTCGCGATGCGGGTCCCCAACCCGAGAGATGCCGCCGAGGGTGCGACGCGGTCGACTGTACTTTAGAGGCCTAAGTAATTACCAATACAACTTTGTGGGTTCCTTATTATGATTAATTATGGGAAATAATTTTCATTGGCCCCCAAACCCTGTTCTAATTAATCAGGCCTCTGTATTAACATGGCAGAGTGGGTTGTTGCGGCCTATGCAGCAGCCTTGAACTATACACATTGCTTGCAAAAGACTCCGCGGAGTGGATCTGACCGCAGTGTTCCAAGGATAGATGAACCCAGAACGCGTCTTCACCCACCGAGTATCTCCTAGATACTCCACCACCAGTTCAAACCATCCAGAGTTCTGAAGACTGAACATGCCAGCAGACAGTTGTCTGATAGTGGTTCAAGCCACTGATCGAGCTGCAGTGGGTAAACATGGCCAAAGGGGTCTGCCTCCGGCTGACTGCGGCTTTGACTGCCCCCCTCAGAGAGCTCCCCCTTGTTTTGCAAGTTGTAGTAGGGCCGTAGGCCTCGCCCCCCGCTTTCTCGTTGCCCGAGGGTTTCTACTCCACAGCCCCACAGAACGCGGTTTGCCCTCGCTGTCGCGAGCCCAAGGAGGCACTTAGTATGCAGCTCCCTTTTTCAGGCTTATAGCCACCCTAAACCCTAAACCCCCAAACCCCTAAACCCCTAAACCCTAAACCCCTAAACCCTAAACCCCTATATAAACCCTAAGCCCTAAATCCTAAACCAACGTGAAGCCTTGAAGCCGGATTTCAAGATCGTAACGGATTCAGGTGGACCTTTCCGGCCCAGAAACGCCCAGCGACAAGCTCCGAAAAGCAGTGGAAGCCCGAAGCCCAGCAACTCCATGGACGGTTTGGTACTTACTATAGCGACCTAAATAATTGCCAATACTATTTTGCGAATTCCTTGTTCTAATTATTAAGGCCCCGCATAGTACTCCTTTTGGGCGACCGTTGGTTTAAGGCCGATGCCTCTGGGGTGGAAGATGGCCTTTAGTATTTGGGGCTTCTGGAAAAGGTGTTAAGGACTCTAGGACATTGAGCTCAAGAATTAAAGTTGGTGGTTCGCAGATTCAGGTGGTGGGCTCTAAGGCTTCCGTGCTTTGGAAACCTTCTGCACCAAACGTTACAAGCACGAAACACGCCAGTAGACCAGAAAACCTTAAGGAAACCCTAAGCCGTAAGCCTGGGCCCTAATCCCACTCCTTACCTTTGGTTAATAGGGAACGGAAGAATGGTAGTAATAGTAGTTATAATTGTACCAAATTCCCATTCCTCCATTCCCGACTAACCAAAGGTAAGACTCTGGGTTTAAGATGTCAGCTTCAGGGCCGCAGCATGACGGCCCCACTTTACGCAAAGCTCGCTGTTGCTGCGAAGGCCCCGACTCAGCAGGAGACTGTGGCTTTGAGGGTTCATGCTGATTGGCTCTACTGTGAGAAGGGCGAGAAAGCCTGGGCTTCGCTTTCCGAAACTCCTGGCGATCACTTTCGGACATGGGCTTCCGCTGCCTTCGGCAGCATTCGCGACGCTTGGTCGTGGCAACTTGTGCGTGGACCGGGTGGCCCCAGGGCCACGGTCGAGGGCCTCGTTCGGGTCGCGGCTAGAGGCCCTGGCTGCCTCTGGCACTCGTCATGCTGGGCTCCGATGCTTCGTCTCCGGGTTTAGGGTTTAGGGTTTATAGGGTTTATAGGGTTTATAGGGTTTATAGGGTTTATAGGGTTTATAGGGTTTATAGGGTTTAGGGTTTAGGTCATTCCTGGCCTTCGTGCCTTGACTGTTCATTGTCAGGAGTGGCAAGATGATGAAGATTGGTCCACCACTTACTCCCGTCTGACGGTTTCCTCATACCTCAACCTCAACCTTCGACCCCAGATCCCCAAAGCCCTAAAATCCCAGAAGGACCTCAGCTCTGAGGCCTTAAGCCCTGAAGACGTTTTATGCCAAAAAGTTGAAAGTCTCACCCTAAACCCCAACCGCAAACCCCTCAACCCCTCAACCCTAAACACCCAACACCCAAAGCCCCTCAACGCTAAACCCGTCAACCCTGGGCATGCTAAGCCCAAAACCCTTCAACACTAAGCCCTTCAACTCGAATATAGGGGCCTTAATAAATTAGAACAGGGTTTGGGGCCCATTCTACCGCAGTTATAATAAGGAACCCCCCCAAAATCTGAACACCCTAAGCCCTAAACCCTAAACTCCAAAACCCCCCCAAGACCCTCAAAGAGCAGTAAACACCAAAACTTCTCAAACCTCTAAACCCTAAACCCTGAACTCCAAAACCCCCCCCCCCCCCCCCCCCCCCCCCCAAACCCTCGAAGAACCCTCAAAGCCAAGGCCGGCTCGGCCGGTGAGCTGGCCTCGGCGATCAAGTCTGCCTTGGCTGCAGAGGTCGAGGCCGAGGAGGCGGCCCAAGGGCGTTCTGTTTGTTCTGTTTCATTTTTTTTGGTGTTTTTTTGGATTTAGGGTTTTTGGGGCTTTGAAGGGTTACTATAAGGGTACCTATGGGGCCTTCGGGGTGTAGGATTCAGGGGTTTAGGCTTAAGATTCAGGGTTTCGGGTTTAGGGGTTTAGGGTTTAGGGTTCTTGTTGTCTTTTTCGAATTTCGAGTGCGGGAATGCTGCTGGTTCAGAGCTTCATCATTACATGTCTTACGCCAGGGTGTGCAGGGGGTTTTGTAGGGTTTTGTGTGGATTCCTGGACCCTGAAGAACCTACTTTTTTCAAGGACTTTTGCAAGGAAATCATAACTAATGAGGAACCAAAAACAAGGTGTGGTTTCGGGTTTGGGATAGGTGCGGCTGTCGCTTTGGCTTTCGTCTTGATGGCTTCGGGTTCGCTGGTCGGGTTCTCACGTGTAGAAAAGGGTTTAGGGGTTTAGGGTTTAAGTTCGGGTTTGGGTTTACATTCTGAACCCAGATTGAGTAGTGATATCCGCTACTCACAAACCCCTAAACCCCTAAACCCTAAACTCTGAAACCTAAACCCCTAGACCCTACACTCTGAAACCTAAACCCCTAAACCCTAAGCTCTGAAACCTAAACCCCTAAACCCTACGCTCTGAAGTGCCGTGCTACTCTACGGGTTAAGGTTCGGATTTGGGTTCATGGCTCGGAACCCCAATTGAAACTACAGCGTCAGAGCCAGAAGCCCTCAGCATCAATCCTGAATTATTCAAAGGGGAAAAGGAGGGACCCTTAATGGGGACCCCTACCTATAATCGGCTATATTATGGGTATATAATAGCTATATTAAGGGTATATACCTAGGGGTCCTCATTAAGGGTCCCACCTTCTACCCTTGGAACTATAAACCCTGAACCCCAGAGCCTATCAGCCGAAGGTGTGGTATGCCCAGGTAGTGCAGAGACGTGTCGGGCCCAGTTGTCCCACTGCGGATGACCTTTAAAGATAGGTTGAGGTTCAGTGCAAGGCTACAGTACCTTTTATTATTTGCTATAAGGTGACTTCAAAGGTACTTTGAGGGTTGCCACAAGGGTTTCATGCGGGCTTTGGCGTTTAGGACTGAGGTGTTTCTGTTGGGCTTGGTGGTTTCGGGTGTGACGATGAAGCCCCCAATCCGCTAGCACGCAGGATTCAGCTTCGAAAGCCTAAGTCCGTGAGCTTTGGGGTTTAAGGTTTATAGGGTTTAGGGTCAGAGCAACTAGCAGTACTATTGCTATTCCATAGGAGTCCTTCGTATATGTGTGGTACAATGCAGCCCCCAAAATCATGAAGGCCCCCTATATCACACCCAGATCCCAAAGAGTTTTCGTTAGTCGGATGTCAGGAAGGGCTGACTTTGGTAGTTAAAGGCAGGGTTATCAGGCAACCCATATGGTTTGTACTCATACTTACTCCACTTATACACCCGACTTAACATGAACCTCCAAGTAGGGTTTAGGCCTGCTATTGATGGTGTGATGATCCCTTGACCTTCTGAAGATTATCTTGAACGACCGAAACCTGCTTTTGGTAGGGCCCCTATAAAGTCGATATCAGGGTTTACAACAAGAGCCTACAAAAAAGTAGGTTAATGGCAGTTTAAGGTAAGTCCAAGACACTCCTTTCAGAAGAAAAGCGTGTCGTGCAAGAGAAACTCTGAACATTGTTCGTACGAATACCCTGTGCCCTTGCTGCACTGAATACTATGCCATGAGTCTTGCGGGTTCAGTCTCGGCTTACTTGGTTGCAGAATCGTATTTCGCAGAGCGCAATCCAGAAAGGTGGAGCATGGGTTCAGGATGAATGCTGCTGGGATTCTCGAGGGCAGCATAAAAGCCGGCTTCTAACAGCCCTGCCTACAGTGTAGTTCCTTCAATGATACGAACAGTCTAAATCTTAAACCTGAACCCCAAACCTTAAGCAATAAACCGTACGTCCCCTATAGCCGAACAGCAGACATACTAATACTAATTAAAGCCACACAACACCCTACATGCTAAACCCTACATCCTAAACCCCACAGCCGACCTCTCTAAACCCCAAATTAAAGAACCACCGCCTAATAATTACCTCTACGATTTTGGGGGTTCCTTATTACAGGTATAGTATCCTGGGCCCCAAAAACCCTGGTCTAACTGTTCAGGATCCTACACCTAGGTCGCTCCATCGTTGAGAAGCTGCAGCGTGCGTTGCACAGCGCCGACGACCCGCTGGCGAGCAGAGTCGCAGGGGAGGCTGGGTCCGTTCACTTTAAGCCTTAAATTCAGTAGCTGAGTGGATACACTTTACAGTTTTTGGGGATAATATTACCCAATATAAAACTGAAAGTGTACACTTCTGGGGGCTTATGAACTCAGCATCTAATTAAAACGCTCCTTAACATGGCGCTTGTTCCGCAAGGCTTTTTTTGGAGGCGACCAAAGTTGTTAGGGTTTAGGGTTGACAGGTAAGGATTGAGAAGTTGGAAGTGAAGAAGCAAAGATTGATAGCCGCAACAGTCAACAGGTTTTGTAAGGGTCTCAAAAGGTCTGGCACGTTGGGTCGACTTTGTAGGGGAATCAAAGATTTCGGGGTGCCTGAAGGTTTGAGGAGGTTGAGGCCTTCTGCGGCTCGGGGCTTGGGGCTTAGGTTTGGGTCCAGGCGCTTGTTTGGAAGAGGGATTCCTGGTCCTGAGGCCCGTGTTTCAACACCTTTCCATGCAGCCCTCAAGCCTAAACCCCTAAATTCCGCAACCCTAAACCCTGAAACCCTGTAACCCCAAACCCTAAACCCCGCAGCCCTAAACCCTAAACTCTGGAACACCTCGAGCCCGAGTTTCGTCTCAGACCGTGCTGCTCGAAGTGATGAGAACATCTGCAGCCTGGAAGTCCCAGGATCTCGCGAAGGCCTTGGAACAGGGTGTAGGGTTTAGGGGTTTAGGTGTTTAGGGTTTCGAGGTTTTGGGTCTAGGGCTGAGGTGTAGGTTTTCGGGGTTTAGGGGTGCCCAGAAGCCCCTATACACCTTTCGTAAAGTCTGACACCGCCAGGCGTGGCGAGAAATCGAGACCTGGCAGACCAGCATGCTCAAGGTGCGTGCCGCCAACGCCCGGGGATTAATGGGTGCGTGGTTTCAAGTGCAGGGTGTCGGGGCTTGGTTTTATTGTTGGACGTGGTGGGGATCTAGATGAGGGATTCAGGCTTTCAAAGGCTTGGGAAGGAATTGTCGAATATAGAGGCCTTGAAAATTACCTCTGCGATTTGGGGCTTCCGTAATATAAACTAGGTAAATGGGCCCCCCAAAACCCTATTCTAGTAATTAAGGACCCTTTTCTATGAGGCTGAAGGCTGAAGGTTTCGTCGGGTTCAGGGAGATCCTGGAGTGTCATGAAGCTTCGGTTTGCAGGGATTTGGGGTTTAGGTGGTTAGGGGCTTACTTGGAGGTGCATGGGTAGATATAGGTAGGGTTATAAGTAGGGCAACTATACTTATAACCCATATAAGGGGACTTATAACCCCACCTATAACCACCCGTGAACCTCCAAGTAGGTTTTTGGGATTTTTGGGATTGGACTTTAGGCAACAGCTGCGACTGGAAGCACCGGCCAGAACGGCCTGCCCACACCATGACTTCCCGCAATCTTCATCCCACAGCGTAGACCCTCAGCCCGAAACCCCCCTAAACTGGGGACCTTAAATCCTAAATCCTTCAAAACCTAAATCCGAACCCTAAAAACCCTAAACCCTACACTAAATCCTAAACCTAAATGCTGCTCCTTTCATGACGGCACACCCGAATGCAGGGCCTCCTCAACAAGGCCAGTATCTCGCCCAAGGATGCTCTGAAGGCGAGATACATCTAAGAGTTTGAGGCTTTCGAGGTTCATAGGTTTAGAGGTTTAGGGGCTAGGGTTCAAGGATTAGGGTTTAGGGTTCAAAATTTAGGGCTCAGGGTTTGGGGTTCATGGTTCAGGTTTCTTGGGGGTGAGGAATGGTTGTGGTTTAAAGTTTAGGGTTTCGCATAGAAGCACCCATGTTTCACATCATGTCTTTCAGGGTCTGCTGAAAGCCGAAGCAGGGCCATTGGGGTTTTCAGTAGTTCAGGCTCCACCCCAAAGTCCAGAGTGACCTTCGCCATTCCAATGAAACCCCTAAACCCTGAGCCCTAAATCCTAAACCCTGAACTCTAAACCCAAACCCCCACATGACAGCTCATGGGCTTTTGTAGGGCCTCTCATTCCACTGACCTTGGCAAAGGCCTTCTGCCCAGCGAGCCCAATACCCCTTAATGAAGGAATATACCTTAAACCATAAGGAGATTCTTATTGTGATTTAAGCTATGTTCCTTAATTAAGGAGTATTGGGCTCTCTGAGTGTGTTCCTCCAAAAGGCTGTTTTTTGTGCGGCCGCTGCGAAGGTTAGCCCTCTGCTCCTCCATAATGTGGGGGTTCATGGGTAGTTATAAAGGTTCCTTTAAGGGCCCCTTTAAAGGGATCTATAGGGATTCTAGAAGGGTATAGGGTTTAGGGGTTACTTGCTCCTCCATAACCTAAACCCCCAAAAGTAGGTAAAATAATGGCCCAATACCCGCAAAAAGGCTATTATTCTACACGCTTTTGGGGTCCAGGAATATACTGCAATATTGCATATTCTACTGTTCTACAGTCATCGCATACTATAGTATGCCGTAATAGCCATATGGGTGGTTGTCAAAATTATGGTCCCCTTTTGCGTCCCTATTATAATACGGCACCTATTATTTAGGATACCCCAGAAGGGGCCATAATTTTGACAACTGCCCATATAGCACCCATGGCAACATTTTCGGCCTCCCCGAAGCATCCAAAAAAGTGCGCTTCGGCAGGATTCGCCGGAGACTTTGCGAACCTTATGGGTGGTTGTCAAAATTATGGTCCCTTTTCGGGTACCCTGAATATTCGGTGCGGTATTATATTAAGGACCCAAAAAGGGACCATAATTTTGACAACTACCCTTATAGAACCCTTGCTGTCAGAACCTTTACAGAGCCTTGAAAGAGCCCTTTATACCCGACCACGACGCAGCGCAGGAGCTTCAGCAAGCTCTGAAGGTGAGCGGCGGGTCGGGGGGAATGTCGATTAAGGTGGCGTTTACGGTTCATGGTTCAGGGACGGGGGGTACTTAGAGGATCATGGGACTTAGTAAGTAGGTTATAACTGGGGTTATAAGTCCCCTAAGTGGGGTTATCCTAATTATAACCTACTTATAACCCTACTTACTAAGTCCCATGATCCTTTAAGTAGTGTCGGATTGTGGCGTTGGGTTTTGTGCTTTTTGGGGGTTGTGGCGTCCTAGACCGGGTTGACCTGTTTGGGGGTTAGACCCTGAGGGTTCCAGGGTTCAACTCAAGGATTTGAGGACGGTTCAGGGTTTAAGGGTTTAAGGGTTTAGGGTTTGAGGACGGTTTAGGGTTCAGGGTCTTGTGTTTAGGGTCTTGTGTTTAGGGTTTAGGGTTTAGGGTTCAGGGTTTAGGGTTTCGTTACCGGCCGAAGGCAGAGTCTGGTCGGACTGCCTTGAGGGCAGACACAGATGAAAGTCCAGGGTGTGTCTTCGGCTACCTTAAAGACAACATAGAGCGGCACACCGGAAGCAAATCCAACATGACAGAATGAAGGCACTGTCAGTGGCCATCTCTGCATTCTCCTTCTGCGGTCGTGGTATGTACCGCAAATCCCTCAAACAAGTGGAAACCCGACAACGGAAACCCTTGACCCTTGGAGCCTCCTAATTGACCCGAGGCAGTCGTGTGGGTTTAGGGTTTAGGGTTTAGGGCTTCTGAAATGAAACTCCATGTTCCAACGGCCAATGAATTCGCGGCATGGCTGAAAGTAGCCGTAGCCCTTGCGCTTGCACCAGCAACTCTGGCTCCAACTCTACACAAGTCCCGAAACTTGAACCCTAAACTTTAGCCCTGAAGCCCTAAACCCTAATGTAGGAACCTGATTAAGAAACCCTGGGCCTATAACCACAAAATAGTAGGATTGATTCTTAAGGAACCCGAATAAAGGCCCAAGGTTTCTTAATCAGGTTCCTACATAAAGCTCCCACAGCCAAAAGCCTGAGCCAAAAACCTGAACCCTAAACCATAAACTTTAGCCCCAAACCCTAAACCCTCAACCCCTAAGCCCTAAACCCTAAGCTCCCATAGCCAGAAACCTGAGGCCATCCGGAAGGATCCTCTGTCGAGCGGCTAACGCACAGTCGGCCCGGGGACGACCTCACGGCTTTGAGCAATCAAGCAGACACAGGAGGTTTGCGGCCCAGGCCTTAGTTTAGCTCAGGGTTTGGGATTCAGGGTTTGGTTTTATGGTTTAGGGGGTTTACAGGGTCTAGAGTCTAGAGGCTTCGGGTTTTGAAGCTTAGGGTGTGGAGTTTATCTCTCCAGCGGTTAACCGCTGTCCGTAGCCAGGGCGTGCGAACAGCAAACGGGGCCCAACCTGTGACTGTGGTAACTATTCAGGAAGCAATATGGGGTTTGCGTTTTGCATATGACTTTCTCATTTCCGGGTCTCGGTTTGATTTTACCTGCTGCAACCGCCCGCTACTTCTGCTGCTACTTCTACGGATTCTACTTCGACTGCAACTTCTGCAACTGCTGCCACTGGGACTGCTGGACGACGACGACGACCACGACGACGACGATTACTATTCGTACCAGTAGTACCATTAGTACTCTTCGTACTACGTACTTGTTACTACTACTACTACTACTACTACTACTACTACTCCTGCTGCTGCTACTACTACTACTACCACTACTACTACTACTACTACTACTACTACTACTACTACTACTACTACCACTACTACTACTACTACTACTACTACTACTACTACTACTACTACTACTACTACTACTACTACTACTACTACTACCCGACAACGACAACCATGACAAGAGCGGTGCTGCAGCATTACAACAGGGAAGAAGGATCTGGCGATGGCTTCGGTTGCTTCATGCGCAACACCCAGGATAGCGCAATACCCACACCAGCAACAATAAGCATCACCTTTCCAAGAAGCAGCAAATAAGTTCATAACTTTGAGCTGCAGCGTCTCGGGATGAGGTTTCGATGATTATAGGCTAGTGGGTTTCTTCAGATTTCTGGCTTCGGGTTTGGACCATCCGTTGTGGGCCTTTTGGCTTCTTGGGTTTTGGTGCCACCATAAACACTAAACCCCTAAACCCCCAACCCTAAACACCGAAGAGCCTTTTTCCTGCTTTTTTCGTGTCGGAAGGGCCCCAGAAGCTGAGCAAGTTAACGAGACACGACTTCTCTCCCTGGTTCTTAGTGGGGTATGGGCTATAGGAACTCCTATAAGGAACCCTTAGCTTAGGGTTTAGGGTTAAGGGACCATCACAGGGATCCATTCCCCTCATTCCCGACGAAGAACCAAGGGACTTCTTTTCAACAGCATGGTGTCTTGCCGGCCGAATACCGGGCTGGCTTCGCCGTGGCTCCCCGAGGGTCTACACTTAAGTCAGTAAGCAGGGTGCAGGCCGGATGATAGTCTTCAAGGGGTTCTGTTTTCGAGTTCCTTGTAGATTCTCTCGGGCTCAGAGTCTTAGAGTCTTAGAGTTTACTTAGGGGCACTTAGAAATGATTTTTAATGTTTGGTTATTATCATCCCTAAGAAACAGCTAAACTTACAATTTTTGCTAGGGTTCTAAGTTCAGTATCGTTTATGGTTTGGGGTTCGTATAGAAGACACCGGTCACTCGGGTTTTATTGCTGCACACCCAAACCCCATACCAACTGGATAAAGATATCCCGATATCACACTGCTGATGGACAAAATCCTGCATGAACCTAAGGACTCTAAACTATGGGAACTATGGTATGTTCTTTATAATGGGTAATGCAGGATTTTGTCCATCAGCAGTAGAACCCACACGGCAACCCTTATGGGACCGTCCAAAACACGACGGCCTAACTGTTCGGTCCCGTACATTGTCTGTATATTATGTAAGGTTCAGGACCCTAAACACTTGCCCCGAAGCCCTAAACCCTAAACCCTGCGCCTTAAACCCTAAAGCTTAAACCGGCTTCTGGGCTTCTTTCACCATCGGGGAGGTCGTTAATGGTAATGCCGACAGCCGTCGCATGTCTTCGCGAGCTCGCTCTGAACAAAAGCAGGCAGGGAAGATGATTCGGGGGTTCAGGGTTGAGGGTTTAGGGCTGAAGGAAATTTCGGGTTTAGGGTTCAGGGGTTTAGGGGTTTAGGGGTTTAGGGTTTAGGGTCAAAGTAGTATGCGAGTGCAGGATTTTATGCTTTGCGTGCTTGGTGAAGACTCTGTTACTATCAATGTAGCTACATGCATGTAGCATGGATCCGCTATCTGTAGGGCTGGGGTCGCTCGAATGGCAAAGACTATAGGGGCCGAAAGAATCACGAATGCTATTCTGGAGTTCCCAAAGTATCAGATACACCAAAGCCTGTTCTAATCATTACGCCCCCTATGTTACCCTCATCCAGCTTCCACCTGGTGCTCAGCAAGGAGGGGGCGAAAGTGATTATAGTCGGCTCAAGTGTTCTTGAGTCATCGACTGCGATGTCGAGGTCAAAAAGGACGCAGTAAGCTAGGGGTCTGGGGATCTAACGGATTTAGCGTTTACGGTGCAGGAATTTATGGTCTAGGTGTAGACGGCTTAGACATTCTCTTCATTTTGATGATTGGTATCACAGATACATATTACCGCCTGTGGCTACACTGTATCCTGGCTGATGACATAGCAGATTCACATGGTGTTGATCTATCGGGGGAGTGCCATGCGCCTGGTTTTCAGGTGACATGCCCATGTTTCTGATGTCAGCGCTTTGCGCACTGCTTGCCTGCGCAAGTTTGCCAGCTGCAGCAGCGAGCGTGCTCCCGCGGCGAAAACAGTATGCAGCGCCGTCGTGCTCTGGCCGAGTCACCGGTCACAGCTTCACCTCCAACTTTGAATGTGTACCTCCAAACAATTTCATGGGCGCCCACTGGGTGAAAGCCTTCTGCAACGAAGTTGGCGGCAATGTCACGTTTGAGCAGTACCAGGGAGTGCACTGCACTGGTGAAGTGATAGCCAATGAGACGTTTCCCTCGGCTTGTGCTTCATGCGATGATCCAGGATACCAATGCTACGGTGGCGGTCTGAGAACTGTCTCCATCTCCTGCATAAGTTCTGGCATTTCCAGTAGAGGCTCTGCCGGTGTGTCGATGTCAATGATTCTGCTTACCCTCGTAGAGGCTGTCAGACTCATCTGTGATCATGGATAGCTCTTCGCCGGCGCAGTTGCAAAAAGTACGTGCGCGCCATGATTCCTTCTGCAGTCACTGCTTGCCAAAGCGCCGGTGACCGTTGCGGGGTTGCCGAAAGCCCGTGGAAGGTTAAGAAAGCGCATCCTATCTGCTATAATGCTATTAGCTATCAGATACTTACCGAAATCTACTGTAACACATACTACGGTTACTATAGTATTGCTATAGTATACTATAATATACTATAATTACTATAGTATACTATAGGTACTACAGTATGCTATATAGTATACCATAATTATATACTATAGTATACTATAATTAGTAGTCAGTGGAATCGAGGCCGTGAAGAGGAAGCAGGCGCGGCCTGGTGGATCGCGAGCAAGGCTACAGCCATCTGCGGTTCAAAGACATGGAAGATGATTGGCTCCATAAGGGTTCAGGCTGTTTGAGTTTAGGGTACAGGGTTCAGGGCCTTTAGGGTTTGGGGTCTAGGGTTTGGGGGTTTAGGGTATAGGGTTTAGCGTTGAGTGCGAAAGCCTAAAGCTTGTTTACGATCAGTTGGATGTTCAGGCTCCCGAAGATCTCACCACATGCCAGGGCCCAACGTAAACCCTGCACTGATATTACGGGGTTGAGGCCCCCCTTCATGCATGAAGCTGACTAAGCAAGCTTCAAGCTCGCCAGGTCAAAGCACTCGAGGTTCCCTACAAGTCCGCCATAGACCGTGTTAGTAGCTTTAGGGGTCTTTCTGCTAATTGTGTAGTGTAATATTTTCAGGCCCTTGTATCCAAACCCTTACATAGAAACGGGTTTTGAAGGCAGCAGCCCCGAAACAACCCGGACAACAGCTCCAGTCAGTAGAGCTCACGCGGCCCCTGCGGCTTTGCCGGGCGCAAACTAAAAGATTCTGACAAAAACGCGGACGACCGCCGCCGATCTCGGCCATGACCGCGGCGGCGGAGCGACCCGAGGACACGACCGACCTGTCGAAGACGGGTCTCTGTCTCTGTAGGTTCGGGGTTTCGGGCTTAGGGTTTGGGGTTCACGGTGTTGCAGTTTCTGAGAGCAAGCGGTGTAGATGTTGAGTACCTGCTTGTACCGTGTAGGATCCATCTCAAAGCCCATCATTCTCCGAGGCACCCTTTTGAGTCCTCGTCAAGCTCTGATTCTAGACATGGTACCTTGCAGAAAACTCGAACCCAAACCCCCCCTCCCCACGCAAAAAACGTTCTGACGCAGGTAGGCAACAGCTTGCTTTTGCCATGTCCTTCTTCTTTAAGGATCCAGGGTTACAAGCCCTAAACCCTAAACCCTAATAAAGCCCCAAACCCTAAACCCTAATAAAGCCCTAATCCCTAAACCCTCAGCCGTCAGCTTTACAACGGAAACTCATTCCCAACCCATCTCCGGCGACGGGGATTTGCTTTAGTGCTTGGGCTATAAATGGGTGGTTGTGATATTCGGTGCCGTATTATAATAAGGACCCAAACAGGGACCTTAATTTTGACAACCACCCATATGGCTTGGACTCATAAATCTCTGTAACCCCAAAGCCCGAACCCTGGAGCCCCCCCGAAGCGCTAGAGAGCCTTACCAGATCTTTAGAGTTTAGGGTTCAGGGTTTAGGGTTTAGGGCAGGGCAATGAGGTCCCAACTGGCTTGCAGGGTGGATGTTTTGGTGCTTGAGTTTTAGCGTTTAGGGCTCTGATGACGCTGTTTGTTGATAAGAAGACCTAGGTTTCTAAACCCTAAACCTTAAGTCCTTCGGGTTTAGGACCTACTTGGAGGGGCAGGGGACTTAGTAAGTAGGTCATAACTAGAGCTATAAGTTACCCCAATTATAACCCTACATATACTCGACTTACTAAGCCCCCTGCTCCTCCAAGTATGGGAGTTAGGATTAGGGGGACCCTCGGGGATATAGACCCTCTCAATAAGGTCCCTTTTAAG